CCACCCTCTTTTTTCTTAGAGGGTATGTGCTAAGATAAGAGTAATTTTGGCAGATGAGATACCCTCCAAGAAAAGAGAGGGTGGGTGGGCGAGGCTAGAATCTGGTAAGATAAGAGTAATTTTAGCAGATGAGATACCCTTTAACAAAAGAGAGGGTATCTCATCTGCCAAAATTACTCTTATCTTAGCAGGAATTAACCCCGCCCACCCACCCTCTCTTTTCTTCAAAGGTATCTCATCTGCCAAAATTACTCTTATCTTAGCAGGTATTAGCCCCGCCCACCCACCCTCTCTTTTCTTAGAGGGTATGTGCTAAGATAAGAGTAATTTTGGCAGATGAGATACCCTCCAAGAAAAGAGAGGGTGGGTGGGCGAGGCTAGAATCTGGTAAGATAAGAGTAATTTTAGCAGATGAGATACCCTCTAACAAAAGAGAGGGTATCTCATCTGCCAAAATTACTCTTATCTTAGCAGGCATTAACCCCGCCCACCCACCCTCTCTTTTCTTAGAAGGTATGTCATCTGCCAAAATTACTCTTATCTTAGCACATACTAACCCCGCCCACCCACCCTCTCTTTTCTTAGAGGGTATCTCATCTGCCAAAATTACTCTTATCTTAGCAGAAATTAACCCCGCCCACCCACCCTCTCTTTTCTTCAAAGGTATCTCATCTGCCAAAATTACTCTTATCTTAGCAGGTATTAGCCCCGCCCACCCACCCTCTCTTTTCTTAGAGGGTATGTGCTAAGATAAGAGTAATTTTGGCAGATGAGATACCCTCCAAGAAAAGAGAGGGTGGGTGGGCGAGGCTAGAATCTGGTAAGATAAGAGTAATTTTAGCAGATGAGATACCCTCTAACAAAAGAGAGGGTATCTCATCTGCCAAAATTACTCTTATCTTAGCAGGCATTAACCCCGCCCACCCACCCTCTCTTTTCTTAGAAGGTATGTCATCTGCCAAAATTACTCTTATCTTAGCACATACTAACCCCGCCCACCCACCCTCTCTTTTCTTAGAGGGTATCTCATCTGCCAAAATTACTCTTAACTTAGCAGGTCCACCTACCCTTTATTTTGTTAGAGGGCTAACACTTGCTAGTTAGTACCTGATAAGATAAGAGTAATTTTGGGAGACGAGATACCTTCTAAGAAAAGAGAGGGTGGGTGGGCGGGGCTAGTATCTGCTAAGATAAGAGTAATTTTGACAGATGAGATACCCTCTAAGAAAAGAGAGGGTGGGTGGGCGGGGCTAATACCTGCTAAGATAAGAGTCATTTTGGCAGATGAGATACCTTCTAAGAAAATAACGGGCGGGCGGGCGGGGCTAGTACTTGCCAAAATAAGATTGATTTTGACAAATGGCATAGCTTTGAAGAAAATGACGGGTGGGTGGGTGGGGCTAATACTTGTCAAGGTAACACTGATTTTGCCAAATCATATACCCTCTACCTTTCATCTTATTATGTGTGTCATTTGCGGAAATCAGTTTTATCTTAGGAGGTACTAGCCCCGCCCACCCACCCAACCTCTAATTTGTTAGAGGGATCTCATTTGCCAAAATCAGTCTTTCTTAGTAAGTACTAGTAATTTTTAATAATTCCTGAACAAGCTCGCTGCGCTCGCACTCTACCCTGTGGGCTCTTGATTTTCTAAATGTCTGATCTTCTAAATTAAATTGCCCTAAAAACAAATTTTTAAAATGCGGGCTCAGTGAGCACAATTGAAATTTCTATAGTTCCATCAACTTCAGTACGACTTTCGTAATTGTAGAACTTTTTGAAAGTAACTTTTTTTGGAGAAGGAAAATTCTTTGTAATTTAGCTTCTCCTGGACATTGATGAGTAATTTTCAAATAATTCCTGAACCAGCTCGCTGCGCTTGCATTTTAAGTATAGGTTTTAGATTCTCTAAATGTCCGATGCGAGCGCAGTGAGCACGTTCAAATTTTAATATCACTTTTTTTCAAATAAGAAAAAAAATCTTTGTTAATAACTTAGCTTCTCGGGGACATTGAAGAGTAGAAATTTTTAATAGTACCTGAACGAGCTCGCTGCGCTCGCATTCTAACCTATAGATTCTAGATTTTCTAAATATCTCATGAAATTAAATTGCCCTAAAAAGAAATTTTTAAAATGCAAGCTCAGTGAGCAAAATTAAAATTTCTACAGGGTGTTTCTTTTATTTGATACAACCCCTGTAAATTTTTTATTCTTAAAGATAAACCTTTGAGCAAATGTATCATTTTACAAGATCTATGTGGTGGCAACTTCACATTTATATTATCACTTCCGGTAGAACCGGAAATGACATCAACTTTATTTTTTTTTATGGAACACTAGGTATATTTTTTCATAAATGGAAAGACTGATTTTTTCTAAAAATCAAAGACAACCAATATTTCTAAAATCAATACTTAAAAAGTTATTAAATAAAATACACGAAAAATTCATATTAATTGATGGCAATCTAGTAGCTTGAAAAATTGACGCTTATGTCATTTATTCACATAGGTGATCTTTTAATATGATACAAATTTGGTCAAAGAACGATATGTTTATTTTTTAAAATAAAAAAATTACGGGGGTTGTATCAAATAAAAGAAACACGTGGTATAGTCCCATCAACTTCAATAAGAATTTCTAATCGTAGAACTTTTTGAAAATAACTCTTTTGGAGAAGGGAAAATTCTTTGTTTGTAATTTAGTTTCTCCTGGACATTGATGAGTATATCTACAGATTTTAGGTTCTCTAAATGTTCGACGCGAGCGCAGTGAGCACTTTCAAATTTCTATAGTCCCATCAATTTCAGTAGACTTTCGTAATCGTATACCTTTTTGAAATCCACTTTTTTTTTAGTAAGAAAAAACTTTTTGTTAATAACTTACCTTCTCGGGGACATTGGAGTGTAGAAATGTTTAATAATTTTTTTTTCGCTGCGCTCGCATTCTAACCTATGACCTCTAGGTCTTATGAAATTAAATTGCTACGACTTTTTTAATCCTATACCTTTTTGAAATTCACCAAGTAAGAAAATAATCTTCGTTTATAATTTAGCTTATCAGATACATTGATGAGTACTTTTCAATAATTTCTAAACGTGGGCCTAGTACTTGCCAAAATAAGACTGATTTTAACAAATGGCATACGTGCGAAGAAAATAAAGGGTGGGTGGGCGGGGCTAATACTTGCCCAGATAAGACTGATTTTGCCAAATGATATACCCTCTCCCATTCATTTTCTTAGAGGGTATGTCATTTGGCAAAATCAGTCGTTTCTTAGTAAGTACCAGCCCGTCCACTCGCCTTTCATTTTTTTAGAGATTAGGTCATTTGCCAATATTAGTCTTATCGTAGCAGGTACTAGCCCCGCCCACCCACCCTTTCTTTTCTTGGGGGTATGTTATTTGCCAAAATCAGTTTTATCTTAGCAGGTATTAACCCCGCCCACCCCCCCTCTATTTTCTTAGAGGGATATCATTAGCCAAAATCAGTCTTATCTTAGCAAGTGCTAGCCCCCTCAGAAAATAAAGGTGGGTGGAGCTAGTGCTTGCCAAGATAAGGCTGATATTGCCCAATAACATACCCTCTAAGAAAATATAGGGCGGGCGGGGCTAATACTTGCCAAAATAAAACTGATTTTGCCAAATGGCATAGCTTCGAAGAAAATAAAGGGTGGGTGGGCGGGGCCAATACTTGCCAAGATAAGATTAATTTTGGCAAATGATATACCCTCTACCTTTGATTTTCTTAAAGGGTATGACCTTTTTGAATTCCACATTTTTTTAAGTAAGAAAAAATTCTTTGTTAATAACTTACCTTCTCGGGGACATTGAAGAGTAGAAATTTTTAATAATTCCTGAACGAGCTCGCTGCGCTCGCATTCTAACCTATGGATTCTGTGTCTAATAAAATTAAATTGCTTTAAAAACAAATTTTTAAATTGCGAGCGCAGTGAGCACGTTCACTTTTTCTAGCCCCATTAACTTTTTTTATCGTAGACTTTTTGAAATTCACGAACTAAGAAAATAATCTTCGTTTATAATGTAGCTTTCTAGGCATATTGACGAATCCTAATTTTTTTTTTTTAATTTAGTGGCAGAATTACATTTTTTTTTTTTATTAAAAAAAAACGTTAATTTAAACTTCAAAGTAACGTAACTTCACAACAATGTTTCATTTTGTTTTTATATATATAAAAAAAACACTGTAGTGAGCTATTGAGGATTTGTGTATCGAAAAAATTCGTCCAAATTTGACAGAATAAGAAAAGATTTTCCAGAGACGTAGTGTGTAATTCAACAAGTGTGTAATAATGGTTATTCCTCACGCGGAAATAGTTTGCAACACTCGCCTACGACTCGCACGGCAAATTAGGTGTCCTGTAATTGAGTCAAGGTAAACAGCATCTAATTTTATGTTTTCGTGGCATGTCGAAACTTGTAGAATACGAAAATATCGATTGAAGTCTAGGTTCAGATTACACCATTGTAAAACAACCAAAATTTGTCAATTGATTTTCTCTAAAAAAAAGTTTGGAATTAACTTGTGAAAACACAAATCGAGTGTTTTCAAAACATGAAATGATTCGCTTAAAAAACCCGCGTTATGTAAATCTCCTGCACTGAATTACTCGCAAAAACAAATGTGATTCGCGCAACTCCAGCGATTTATTTACCCTGGCAATTTCCGAAACCGCATCTCTAATTTTCGACCTACAAACAACAATATTGCCTTTCCAAAAAGCACATCTGCTCTTATATTTGTGTACTCAACAGTAAAATCGTCCTTACCACTCCGCTATTATTAACTTATTACCGCGAACTCCTCCGTTACGATAATAGATCTCAAGTCGTCGCAGTCACCCCATCGTCGTCAAAACACAATCAAATTTTTAGTAGCCCACGCAGCGAACCGCATGTTTGTCTTCCCCGAAAGCTGGCATCAGTTCAACGTTCCTTCCTTGTTTATAGCAGCGCTTATTTACGTATTTTTTCCATAAGCAGGTTCCAAAAACACGACGGTAGAAGCGGGAATACAGAGCACGAAGACCACGCCAGATGGTACCGACCCCGATCTGGACGAAGTGTACCTCCTGCTCGAGCCGCACCTCCGGCCCGCCACCCCCGACAACGAAAACCCCCAATCGGTGGCGCTGTTCGACGAGCACAAGCAGCTGGCGCAGGAGTACTTCAAGGTAACTCGAAGGCACCCGGTTTATTCGTTTCAAAAACAATGACGTGATGCAGATTCAGACTGAGATGGCGTACCTGTCGCAGAAGAAGGACAAGCTCCTGGCAGAGCAGTCGCAGGAGCAGCAGACGCAGAGGAAGGTCCTGAAGGATTTGCAGGCGGAGAAGGAGTCGCTGGTGCTCGTGCGGGAGTTGCTGAGCAAAAATAATAACGCGGCGAGGAGTTCGCTGGACAACTGGGTGATGGTGCCCAGGGAGGGTGATAACAATAATACTAACTAAGTGGTGTGATTTTTATCCAAGTGACTCTATTCAGAGTGTTTGATACTGTATATTTTGTTAAGCTCAATTTTTTATATGTGTATATAGTTATGATTAAAGTATCGAGTAAGCGCTGGTGGTTTTTTTTAACGGGATTTACCCGTATGGTGATAGCGGAGGTAAGACAAAGAACCAGGTGCATGCGAGGCCAGGTGTATGATAAAATTATATAACTTGCACCCCCATAGTGGAAACGCGCTGGTGCGGAATGAAAGGAAATGGACTGTGGGGAAGTTGTTATTTCAGGGTTTTATGAGCGCTTACGGGATTTTTATTGCATGGAATCGACATTCTTAAAGAGACGAACAACTGTTTGGTTAAGTTTTGCCGCCTTGTTGGAATAAAGTCCATAAAGAAAATTCAGATCAGTTTTAACGACGTTGTTTGACATCCTTTCAGACTGGTTTTTTTCCGATAGCCGTGGTGGAAATAATACAAACTATCTGTGGTTAAATTACAATTATCGACTTTTGCCGCCTTGTTCAATTGAAAATGAAAAAGTAAGCGTAACATTCATCAGAGATAAGCGGCAAATTTATCAACGTCAAACAATAAATTTCCAAAAAGATCTCATCGATTTGGTGAAGTACCGAGAAACGACACGATACTCAAAAACATGTTTTTAATTTCTTGTAAAGAAATAAGTGTTTTGCAGTTAAGCTCCGCCTTCTTGTTTCACGGCGAATAAAAAAAATCGTCCCAATTGAGATAGGGCGGGTGGGCGGGCTTACATTTTGCCTTTTTGTTTCAAAATGTGTAGACTTCTTTTCACAACATGAAACTTAAATTATGTTTAAAATAGAAAATTTATATAAGGAAATGTCCGTTTAGCAATTATACTCCGCCCCATAATTGCAAAATTCATTTTTCCATGCAAAAATGTACCATTTTAACCATGTTTTAAGTTTCTTCTGAAAAGATGGCTATGTATATTAAGAAAAAAAAAAGATAAAATATAAGGCCCGCCCACCCACCCTATCTCAGTTGTGATGAATTTTTCATATATTGTCACCCCGAGGAGCGGATTTTAATTGCAAAATCGATATTTTCCTACAAAAATTTATCATTTTTAAATGTTTTAAATTTCTTGTAAAAAGATGGCTATGTATATTAAGAAAAAAAAAAAAGTAAAATATAAGCCCCGCCCACCCGCCCTATCTTATTTGTGATGAATTTTTCATTTATTGTCACCCCGAGGGGTAGATTTTAATTACAAAATCGCTATTTCCCTACAAAAATTTATCATTTTAAACATGTTTCAAGTTTCTTGTTTTGAAGAAGAAAATACGTATATTAAAAAAAGAAAAGGTAAAATATAATAATACAGCTTACGGTCGCGAATTTTGGTCAATTTTGCATATTGTTATAGTTTTTTAATCGTCCATCAATTATTAAATTTAACGTTTTACTTCGAGATTTTTTTTAATGGTTCATCAAACATTTTTTTTTTTTGTTTAATTGTTTGACATATCCTTTAAAACTGGCTTTTTCTGTAGCCGTGGTGGAAATAATACAAACTACCTGTGGTTAAATTACAATGATCAACTTTTGCCGCCTTCTTCAATTGACATTTATAAGCAAATTCTCAAACTAAAACATTTGCCATAGAGAAAATCCAAAAGTAAGCGTAACATTCATCAGAGATAAGCGGCAAATTTAACAACGTCAAACAATAAATTTCCAAAAAGATCTCATCGCTTTGGTGAAGTACCGAGAAACGACACGATACTCAAAAACATGTTTTTAATTTCTTGTAAAGAAATAAGTGTTTTGCAGTTAAGCTCCGCCCTCTTGGTTCACAGCGAATAAAAAAATCATCACAATTGAGATAGGGCGGGTGGGCGGGCCTACATTTTGCCTTTTTGTTTTAAAATGTGTAGATTTCTTTTCACAACATGAAACTTAAATTATGTTTAAAATGGAAAATTTGTATAAGGAATATCTACTTTGCAATTAGGCTCCGCCCCATAATTGCAAAATTCATTTTTCCATGCAAAAATGTATCATTTTAACCATGTTTTAAGTTTCTTGTGAAAAGATGGCTATGTATATTAAGAAAAAAAAGATAAAATATAAGCCCCGCCCACCCACCCTATCTCAATTGTGATGAATTTTTCATATATTGTCACCCCGAGAAGCGGATTTTAATTGCAAAATCGATATTTTCCTACAAAAATTTATCATTTTTAAATGTTTTAAATTTCTTGTAAAAAGATGACTATGTATATTAAGAAAAAAAAAAGTAAAATATAAGCCCCGCCCACCCGCCCTATCTTATTTGTGATGAATTTTTCATTTATTGTCACTCCGAGGGGTAGATTTTAATTGCAAAATCGCTATTTCCCTACAAAAATTTATCATTTGAAACATGTTTCAAGTTTCTTGTTTTGAAGAAGAAAATACGTATATTAAAAAAGAAAAGGTAAAATATAATAATATAAATTACGGTCGCGAATTTTGGTCAATTTTGCATATTATTATAGTTTTTTAATCGTCCATCAATTATTAAATTTAACGTTTTACTTCGAGATTTTTTTTAATGGTTCATCAAACATTTTTTTTGTTTTTTTGTTTAATTGTTTGACATATCCTTTAAAACTGGCTTTTTCTGTAGCCGTGGTGGAAATAATACAAACTATCTGTGGTTAAATTACAATTACCAATTTTTGCCGCCTTGTTGAATTGACGTTTATAAGCAAATTCTCAAACTAAAACATTTGCCATATAAAAAATATAAAAAGTAAGCGTAACATTCATCAAAGATAAGCGGCAAATTTAACAACGTCAAACAATAAATTTCCAAGACGATCTCATCGATTTGGTTAAGTCCCGAGAAACAACACGATACTCAAAAACATGTTTTTAATTTCTTGTAAAGAAATAAGTGTTTTGCAGTTAAGCTCCGCCCTCTTGGTTCACAGCGAATAAAAAAATCATCACAATTGAGATACGGCGGGTGGGCGGGCCTACATTTTGCCTTTTTGTTTTAAAATGTGTAGACCTCTTTTCACAACATGAAACTTAAATTATGTTTAAAATGGAAAATTTGTATAAGGAAATGTCTATTTAGCAATTATACTCCGCCCCATAATTGCAAAATTCATTTTTCCATGCAAAAATGTACCATTTTAACCATGTTTTAAGTATTTTGTGAAAAGATGGCTATGTATATTAAGAAAAAAAGGTAAAATATAACCCCCGCCCACCCACCCTATCTCAATTGTGATGAATTTTTCATTTATTTTCATCCCGAGAGGCGGATTTTAATCGCAAAAACGATATTTTCCTACAAAAATTTATCATTTTTAAATGTTTTAAGTTTCTTGAGAAAAGACGGCTACGTATATTAAGAAAAAAACGATAAAATATAAGCCCCGCCCACCCACCCTATCACAATTGTGATGAATTTTTCATTCATTGTCACCCCGAGGGGCGGATTTTAATTGCAAAATCGATATTTCACTACAAAAATGTATCATTTTAAACATGTTTTAAGTTTCTTGTTGTGAAAAGATGGCTATGTATGTTAAGAAAAAAAAGGTAAAATATAAGCCCCGCCCACCCGCCCTGTCTCAATTGTGATGAATTTTTCATTTATTTTCACCCCGAGGGGCGGATTTTAATTGAAAAATCGCTATTTCCCTACAAAAATTTATCATTTTAAACATGTTTTCAGCTTCTTGTTTTGAAGAAGAAAAGGTAAAATATACTAATATAACTTACGGCAGCGAATTTTGGTCAATTTTTGATATAGTTTTAACGACGTTTTACCTAGAAATTTGTTTTTTAATCGTCCATCAATTACTAAATTTAACGGTTAACCTAGAGATTTTTTTTAATGGTTCATCAGCTCTTTTTTTTGTTTAATTGTTTAATATACCCCTTAAAACTGACTTTTTCTGTAGCCGTGGTGGAAATAATACAAAATATCTGTGGTTAAATTACAATTATCAATTTTTGCCGCCTTGTTCAATTGACGTTTATAAGCAAATTCTCAAACTAAGACATCTGTCATAGATAATGCAAAAAGTAAGCGTAACATTCATCAGAGATAAGCGGCAAATTTAACAACGTCGAACTATAAATTTCCAAAGATATCTCATCGATTTAGTTAAGTACGGATGAGCCGATGACATGCGACAGAAACACACTTGATAAAATTTGTGAATTTTGAAAGCTATGAACTCAAATCTACAACTTACGGTCACGAATTTTGGTCAATTTTTGGTATAGTTTTAACGACGTTTGAGTTCGAAATTTGTTTTTTAATCGTCCATCAATTGTTAAATTTAATGGTTAGCCTAGAGATATTTTTAATGCTTCATCAGATATTTTTTCTGTTTAATTGTTTGACATATCCTTTAAAACTGGCTTTTTCAGTAGCCGTGGTGGAAATAATACAAACTATCTGTGGTTAAATTACAATTATCAACTTTTGCCGCTTTGTTGAATTGACGTTTATAAGCAAATTCTCAAACTAAAACATTTGCCATAGAGAAAATGCAAAAAATAAGCGTAACATTCATCAGAGATAGGCGGCAAATTTAGCAACGTCGAACAATAAATTTTCAAAGATATCTCATCGATTTAGTTAAGTACCGATGAGCCGATGACAGGTGGCAGAAACACACTTGATTAAATTTGTGAATTTTGAAAGATGTGAACTCAAATCTACAACTTACGATCACGAATTTTGGTCAATTTTTGATATAGTTTTAACGACATTTTGCCTGGAAATTTGTTTTTTAATCGTCCATCAATTACTAAATTTAACGTTTAACCTAGAAATTTTTTTAATGGTTCATCAGATATTTTTTTTGTTTAATTGTTTGACATATCCTTTAAAACTGGCTTTTTCTGTAGCCGTGGTGGAAATAATACAAACTATCTGTGGTTAAATTACAATTATCAACTTTTGCCGCTTTGTGAATTGACGTTTATAAGCAAATTCTCAAACTAAAACATTTGCCATAGACAAAATGCAAAAAGTAAGCGTAACATTCATCAGAGATAAGCGGCAAATTTATCAACGTCGAACTATAAATTTCCAAAAAGATCTCATCGATTTGGTGAAGTACCGAGACACAGCACGATACTCAAAAACATGTTTTTAATTTCTTGTAAAGAAATAAGTGTTTTGCAGTTAAGCTCCGCCCTCGTGGTTCACAGCGAATAAAAAAATCATCACAATTGAGATAGGGCGGGTGGGCGGGCCTACATATTGCCTTTTTGTTTTACAATGTGTAGATTTCTTTTCACAACATGAAACTTAAATTATGTTTAAAATGGAAAATTTGTATAAGGAAATGTCCGTTTAGCAATTATACTCCGCACCATAATTGCAAAATTCATTTTTCCATGCAAAAATGTACCATTTTAACCATGTTTTAAGTTTCTCGTGGAAAGATGGCTATGTATATTAAGAAAAAAAAGGTAAAATATAACCCCCGCCCACCCACCCTATCTCAATTGTGATGAATTTTTCATTTATTTTCATCCCGAGAGGCGGATTTTAATTGCAAAATCGATATTTTCCTACAAAAATTTATCATTTTTAAATGTTTTAAGTTTCTTGGGCAAAGATGGCTACGTATATTTAGAAAAAAACGGTAAAATATAAGCCCCGCCCACCCACCCTATCTCAATTGTGATGAATTTTTCATTCATTGTCACCCCGAGGGGCGGATTTTGATTGCAAAATCGATATTTCACTTCTAAAATGGATCATTTTAAACATATTTTAAGTTTCTTGTTGTGAAAAGATGGTTATGTATGTTAAGAAAAAAAAGGTAAAATATAAGCCCCGCCCACCCGCCCTGTCTCAATTGTAATGAATTTTTCATTTATTTTCATCCCGAGAGGCGGATTTTAATTGCAAAAACAATATTTCCCTACAAAAATTTATCATTTTAAACATGTTTTAAGTTTCTTGTTGTGAAAAGATGGCCATGTATATTAAGGAAAAAAAGGTAAAATTTAAGCCCCGCCCACCCGCCCGATCTTAATTGTGATGAATTTTTCATTTATTGTAAATTGCTATTTCCCTACAAGAGTTTATCATTTTAAACATGTTTTCAGCTTCTTGTTTTGAAGAAGAAAATACATATATTAAAAGAAGAAAAGGTAAAATATACTAATATAACTTACGGCAGCGAATTTTGGTCAATTTTTGATATAGTTTTAACGACGTTTTACCTGGAAATTTGTTTTTTAATCATCCATCAAGTAGTAAATTTAACGTTTTACTTCGAGATTTTTTTAATGGTTCATCAGATATTTTTTTTGTTTAATTGTTTGACATATCCTTTAAAACTGGCTTTTTTGTAGCCGTGGTGGAAATGATACAAACTATCTGTGGTTAAATTTACAATTATCAACTTTTGCCGCCTTGTTTAATTGACGTTTATAAACAAATTCTCAAACTAAAACATTTGCCATAGAGAAAATGCAAAAAGTAAGCGTAACATTCATCAGAGATAAGCGGCAAATTTAACAACGTCGAACAATAAATTTCCAAAGACATCTCATCGATTTAGTTAAGTACCGATGAGCCGATGACAGGTGACAGAAACACACTTGATTAAATTTGTGAATTTTGAAAGCTGTGAACTCAAATCTACAACTTACGGTCACGAATTTTGGTCAATTTTCCATGTAGTTTTAACGACGTTTCACCTGGAAATTTGTTTTTTAATCGTCCATCAATTTCTAAATTTAACGTTTAACCTAGAGATTTTTTTAATGGTTCATCAGATATTTTTTTTGTTTAACATCTTTGACATACCTTTTAAAACTGGCTTTTTCTGTAGCCGTGGTGGAAATAAAACAAACTATCTATGGTTAAATTACAATTATCAACTTTTGCCGCCTTGTTCAATTGACGTTTATAAGCAAATTCTCAAACTAAAACATTTGCCACATAGAAAATGCAAAAAGTAAGCGTAACATTCATCAGAGATAAGCGGCAAATTTAACAACGTCGAACTATAAATTTCCAAAAAGATTTCATCGATTTGGGTAAGTACCGAGAAACAACACGATACTCAAAAACATGTTTTTAATTTCTTGTAAAGAAATAAGTGTTTTGCAGTCAAGCTCCGCCCTCTTGGTTCACAGCGAATAAAAAAATCATCACAATTGAGATAGGGCGGGTGGGCGGGCCTACATTTTGCCTTTTTGTTTTAAAGTGTGTAGACTTCTTTTCACAACACGAAACCTAAAATATGTTTAAAATGGAAAATTGGCATAAGGAATATCCACTTAGCAATTATGCTCTGCCCCACAATTGCAAAATTCATATGTACCATTTCAACCATGTTTTATGTTTCTTATTGTGAAAAGATGGCTATGTATATTAAGAAAAAAAAAGGTAAAATATAAGCCCCGCCCACCCACCCTGTCTCAATTGTGATGAATTTTTCATTTATTGTCACCCCAGGGGCGGATTTTAATTGCAAAATCGATATTTCCCTACGAAAATTTATCATTTGAAACGTATTTTACGTTTCTTGTCGTGGAGCAGAAAATACATATATTAAAAAAAGAAAAGGTAAAATATAATAATATAACTTACGGAGGCGAATTTTGATCAATTTTGTATATTGTTTTAACGACGTTTTACCTCGAAATTTGTTTTTTAATCGTCCATCAATTACTAAATTTAACGTTTAATTTAGAGATTTTTTTAGTGGTTCTTCAGATTTTTTTTTGTTTAACTGTTTAACATATTCTTTGAAAATATCTTTTTCTGTAGCCGTGGTGGAAATAATACAAACTATCTGTTGATAAATTACAAACATCACCTTTTGCCGCCTCGTTCAAATGACGGTTATAAACAAATTCTCAAACTAAAATATTTGTCATGCAGAAAATGCAAGAAGTCAGCACAATATTCATCAGAGATAAGCGGCAAATTTATCAAAGTCAAACTACAAATTTCCAAAGATATCTATCTCATCGATTTAATTAGGTACCGATGAGTTGATGACAGGTGGCAGAAAAATACTTGAATAAATTTATAAATTTTGAAAGCTGCGTATCAAATCTACAAATTTCGGCTTCAAATTTTGATCAATTTTTCTAATACTTGGTGTTGGCGATGTTTTACGTTGAAATTTTGTTTTAATCGTCCATCAGATACATATGTATTGTTTTGTTTAATTGTTTGATGTATCCTGTCACAATGGACTTTTTCTACAGCCGTGGTGGAAATAATACAAACTATCTGTTGATAAATTACAAACATCACCTTTTGCCGCCTTGTTCAAATGACGGTTATAAACAATTTCTCAAACTAAAATATTTGCCATGCAGAAAATGCAAAAAGTATTAATTTCCAAAGATTTTTCATCGATTTAATTAAGTACCGATGAGCCGATGACAGATGACAGACTTGACTAAATTTAACTTTCGCCCCCAAATTTTGATCAATTTTTTATATAATTTTAACCACGTGTCATATAAAAAGTCAACTATTCGTTTATAAATTTTCCCTTAATAAACAAATATTGTTTAATATTTATCCCTAATGTCTGTAATTACTGTTTTATTTAACCATTAATCATTTTCCGTTACTAACGACAGTTCGGCCACTTTTGTTTATCCACGTTTCGAAAATTGCACTAAATTGTGCAACCGCCACGTCACTTCCGGTCAATCCCGGCCTCCACCCCCACCCCCACTTCACCTCCCCCGCGCCGCCCCACGAAAATAAGGAAATTAAAAAATCGGCAGTCTAATTTATTACCCCGTTAATAATTAATCGTCGGAAACCCCTTCGGCCGCGTCCGCCGCCCCGACCCTTTCCGATCGTCGCGTGTCCGGTTGAAAGTTGCGTTTTTGTCGGAGCCTCGTCGCGGTGCACCACCTCTGCGGTAATGCCAGAAATCCGCGTCCGCGAAAAACGAAAAAAACCCAAAAATTAAAAAAAAACAGTGCCTTCAGTGCCCCAACTCGCCCCAGCGCTGCGCCACAGGTAAGCCTCGTCCCTAAGTTGGCAACACGTTCAATTTTGACACTTCGGCACGGCCTGCTTCTCAAAATCGCATGAATATTTAAGTCCGTGAGTAAACACGGGAATCGCGTGGCTTTCACGTTTCACCCCCGATTTCGGCGAGTGTTCTTGGAACTGTCCAAACAAGCGCGAATGAACGAGCGCTCGATAAAATCAATTGCCAATTTGGCGCCCAAATTGAGCGGCCGGGGAATCGGGGAATTGGGCCCGGGGGAGCGGAATTGGGCCCCGGGGACGTGGAGTGCGCGGCCGACGTGTGATCGCTAATTGCGGTGCTCGGGGGAAAACGGCGGGTAATTGGAGAGTGCTTACTGGAAAGACCTGCTTTCCGGGAAAATCGATGGGACATGATTAGTGATTGTGGGAATTTAATGGGTCGTGAATGCGGTTTTGACGCGGTTTGTGGCGAAGGGGTGCCACCCGGGTGGCGGGCTCCATTGTGCTCAACTTTCGCGAATGTCGAAATTTGTTAGTGGAGGATCGGGGGCGGCGAAGTTGTTGGGCCGAGGAGAGTGTGCGGCGCGAGTTCGGGTTAAGTATAATGCTTTTAGTACCTCTATTATTCTTATACGTAAACAGGAGTCCAACGTTAAGATCGATAATTCTAATAACATTTAATAGTGGTCTTTGTGACAACGCATCAAGATTATAAAATGTGTATTTACTGGAAGCACACTTATGGGGGTGGTTATTTTCTGTGCGATGGGTGCTTATTAAAATTAATTTCGCTCAGCTAAACGACTTGGAAGGGATTTGAAGGTGAGCTTATACATTTACTTTATAATTTAACGTAGAAATTCTACTGACTTCAAAATTGTTCTAAAAAGAAATGGCGCTGAAACTGGAATCCCTAATATTTTCTAATTACTAAGTTTCCGAACGTTCGAAATTTTCGACACACTTTATTATTATCATGTTGGTAAAAAAGCTACCATAATCCTCTCCAAAAAAATCGTGACGTCATAAGACCTATTACCGGCTTTATTTTTATTTTACATTATACAACATTGGAATGGCGATACATCGAAAAATCAAACAATTTTAAAAATCAAAAAATGTAAATTTAAAAAAATTGAAGAATTGAAAAACTGAAAAATCTCAAAACTGAAATATTCAAAAATTGTGAAATCGAAACATTAAAATATCGACAGTATTTCAAAATCGAAAAATTAAAATTTGAAAAATTTAAAAATCTAAAATTAAAAAACATTAAAAAATTAAAATACGAAAAATCGGGAAATTGAACGATCAAAAAAGCGAAACAATGAATCTCCATAGTTTGAAAAATTTTAAAATCTAAAAATTCGAAATATGTACTGTATTGAAAATTTAAAAAATCAAAGAACTGAAAAATCGGGAAATTAAACCGAAAAATTCAAAATTCAAAAAACTCGAAAAATGTGAATTTTAAAAAATCAAAAACAAAAGTCGAAAACTCAAAAAAATGGAAAATCAGAAAACCGAAAAGCCGAAAAATCGAGAAATCGAAACACTGAAATATTGAAACATCGAGAAATAGAGAACTCGAGAAGTCAAGAAGTCGAAAAATCGATAAATCAAACTATTCCAAAATCGAAAAATTAAGAAATTTAAAAATCTGAATTAAAAAAAACGAAAAATTGGAAAATTAAAAAATCGAAAAACCGGGAAATTGGACAACTAAAAAAAGAAAAATTTTAAAATCGAAATATGAATTGAAAATTTAAAAAAATCGAAGAACTGAAAATCGAAAAATCGGGAAATCAAATCGCAAAGTGTAGAATCTAAAAATCGAAAATTTAAAACTTCGAAAAATTGAAAAATGGGGACATCAGAAAATTTAGAAATCGAAGCATGGAATAACTGAAAAGTTGAAACATCGAGAACTCCAAACATAAAAATATCGAGAAATTAAAAAATCGAGAAAAGTCAAAAAGTTGAAAAATCCATAAATCGAAATATTCCAAAATCGAAAAATTTAGAATTGAAAAATTTATAAATCTGAAATTAAAAAAATAAAATAACGAAAAATCGGGAAATTGAACGATCAAAAAATCGAAACATCGAAACGTCAATAAACCGAAAAATTGAAAATTCGAAAACTTGAAAAATCGAAAAATTGAGAGATCTAAAAATTGATGAATGTATTGAAAATTTCAAAAATCGAAGAACTGAAAAATCGGGAAATGAAATCGAAAAATGTAAACTTTAAAAAGCTGGAAAGATCGGGCAATTGAATCATCAAAAAATCGAAAAATCAAAATATCGAATAATTGAAAGATGCAGAAATTGAAAAATTCCCGAAAAGTTGAGAAATCGAAAACTTGAAAAACCGACAGACGGAGAAATTTGAAAAATCAAAAAATGTGGTATTAAAAAATTGAAAAAGTGAAAAATCAAAGAAACGAGAAATCGAAAAATATGAATTTTAAAAAATCGAAAAATTGAAAAACCGAGAAACTGAAAAATCCCAAAACTGAAATCTTCAAAAATTGTGAAATCGGAAAATTGAAGTCGAAACCACAAAAAATTGAAAAATTAAAAAATCGAAAAGCCCAAAAATTGAAAAACTGAAAAATTAATACATCGAGAAATCGAAACATTAATAAAATATCGAGAAATTGGGAAATCGAAAAATCGAGTAATCTAAATATTCCAAAACCGAAAAATTAAAAATTGAATATTTTGAAAACGTAAAATAAAATAAAAAACGGATAAATTGAAAAAATTAAAAAAACAAAATTCGGGAAATTAAATACTAAAAAAATGGAAACAACGAAATTTCGATAAATCGAAAAATTGAAAATAAAAATCCAAAATTTGAAAAATTTTGTATTGAAAATTATAAAATTCGATAAACCGAAGAATCGAAAAATCGGGAAATCAAATGGAAAATTATAAAATTTAAAAAATCGAAAAATGTGAAATTTAAAAAATCGGAAAATGTAATATTAAAAAATTTAAAAATCGAAAAACTGAAAAATCAAAAAAACGAGAAAAACAAAAATTTGGAGAATTGAAAAACTGAAAAATCAAGAAACTAAAAAATCCCAAAACTATAATGTTCAAAAATTTGAAAATCAAAAAATGGAAAAGCCGAAAATTCGAAAAAGCGAGGAATCTAAACATCGAAAAGTTGAGAACCCAAAATATCGATAAATTGAAATATTCCAAAATCGAAAAATTAATAATTGAAAATTTAAAAAAAATCGATAAACTCATTAATTAAAAAAACGAAACTTCGGAAAATTGAACAATAAAAATAATCGGAATTTTGATAAATCGAAAAATATTAAAATCGGAAAATTGAAAGATCCTAAAATTTGAAATATGTATTGAAGATTAAGAAAATCGAAGAACCGAAAAATCGGGAAATCAAATCGAAAAATGTAAAATTTAAAAACTAAAAAAAAATTAAAATTTCGAAAAATATTGAAAAATTAAAGAATGGAGAAATCGAAACATTGAAAAATCAGAAAATCGAGAATTCGAAAAATCGAGGACATGTTGTGGTATGGAAAAATTGAAAAGCTCCAAAATTGACAAAAATTCAGAAATCGAAAAACAAAAAATCAAAAACCTAAATAAGAAAACTGGAAAAATTGATAAATCGAAAAATTTAAATACTAGGAAACTGAAAATTTGAATAATCGGATAATCGAAGCATCGAAAAACCGAGAAATCAAGAAATTGAAAAGTCGAAAAATCAAAAAGTGGGAAATTAAAAAATTTCAAAAAAGAAAAAAAGAAATTCGAAAAATTGAGTTGGAAAATTGATAAACCGAGAAATTGAAAAATTGAGAAATCGAAAAATCGAAAATTTTGAAAAAAGTCAAAACTGAAAAATCGAAAAATTGAAAAATCGGGAATTCAAAAAATCGAAAAATCAAAAACTTAGAAACCTCAAAAATCAAAAAATCCAAAAATTGAAGAATCGAAATACTATTGAAAAATCGAAAAATCGGGTAATCCAAACATCCAAAATCCGGAAAATCAAGAAATTGAAAATTCGAAAAGTGGCAAAATCGAAAATTTTAAAATGCTATATATTAAAAAATCAAAAACCTGAAAAAAGAAAAATTTATAAATGAAAAATTGAAAATTTTGAAAAAACCCCAAAACTTAAACATCGAAAAATTCGAAAATCGGGAAATCAAGAAGGTCGAAAAATCGAAAATTTAGAAATGTCCAAAATCAAAAAATTGAAGAATCGAAATATTGAAAAATCCGAAAACTGATAAATCCGTAAATCGAAGAATTGAAAATTCCAAAAATTAAAAAATCGAAGAATTGAGAAAAAATAACTGGGAAACTAAAAAATAGAAAAATCGTGTAATGGAAGCATCGAAAAACCGGGAAATCAACAAATTGAAAAGTCAAAAAATCGAAAAGTGGCAAAATCGAAAATTTAAAAAAAATTATATATTAAAAAGTCAAAAATCTAAAAAAAAACCTGATAAATCGAGAAATTGAAAATTTGAATAATGGAAAAATAAAAAAAAACAAAAATCGAAAAATTGAGAAAAATTTAAGAACAGGAAAACTGAAAAATCGACAATTCGGGTAATCGACACATTGAAAAGCCAGGAAATCAGCAAATTGAAAAGTCGAAAAATCGAAAAGTGGAAAAATCAAAAATTTTAAAAATCTACGTATTAAAAAATGAAAAACCTGAAAAAAAAATTGATAAATCTAGAAATTGAAAAATTGAAAAATGGAGAAATCAAGAAGTCGAAAAATCGAAAGATTAGAAACGTCAAAAATCGGGAAATCCAGTAAATCGAAAAATTGAAAATTCCAAAAATTGAAAAATCGAAAAATTGGGAAATGGAAAAATCGAGAAATCAAAAAGTCAAAAAATCGAAAATGTTGAAACGCCAAAAAGTGAAAAATCGAAAAATTGAAGAATCGAAATATTAAAATCAGACCGTCGAAATTTAGAAACACCAAAAATTGAAAAATCGAAATATTGAAAAATCCCAAAACTGAAATATCGGAAAATTGGTAAATCGGAAAATTGAAAAAGCGAAGAAAATTCGCAAAAATTGAAAAATCGACAATTAGAAAAAATAAAAAACTGAAAAATCAAGAAATCAGTTAATTGAAAAATCGCAACATTGGAACATCAAAAAATTCAAAAATCGGGGAATCTTAAAGTCGAAAAATAAATAATTTAGAAACGCCAAAAAGAAAAATCAAAAAATTGAAGAATCGAAACATTGAGAACTGAAACTGAAATATCGGAAAATTGAGAAATTGAAAAATTGAAAATTCGAGAAATTGCAATATCGAAAAATTGAAGAATCCGCAACCGAAATATCGAAACATTGAAAAATTGTTAGACGATTTTGATTACCTTTTCCAAAAATCTCAATGTCTAGGATAAAAATTCGAGACGAATTCATAAACCACAAGTTCGGGACTATTTATTGTATACCCGAACACTTTTTATTTAAATAAATTCTTTTGAAACTACAGAATTGTGTCATCTTTTATCAAAATATATTACATATTTAAAAAATTATGGACTGCTGGTTAAACCCTTAAAGTGACACATCGTGATGACTAACATATTGTTCTCATAGTATTTCCACTTTAACTTTTACTGTTTTACATAGACTGACCTCTCTGTAACATTAAGACAAATTAATTTTATTTCTAGTTATGATAGTTCGTCAAGTAATTTGAACATAATATTATACTGAAAAAGTTTTCTTTCAAACTTTCACTTTCAAAATTGTGAAATTTCGGAGCGCCATTTTGCCGCGATTTGCTAATCGTGAATGTTTAACGATAATGAACCTCCGCCGCCTCCCCCAAGCGAATTCGTCTAAATACCGCCACACACAGTCAATCACCCGCCGCCCCCTCCAGCCCCCGCCCCCCACATTTCCACCCTCCGCGTTAACTGGCACTTAGTAAAATTCAATCAAATTTATTGCCATATCGATGTAATCCGGCCGGTGGGAACCCGACAGGTGCTCGCCGGCTCGAGGGGCTGCAGCGGGGCGCGACGCCCCTGCCCCCGCCCCCGCCCCACATGTCGCACACATGTGTAATTCGTAATTCCGCCATGCAATTATGATTTTTTCATTTGATCGGCCGATGACGATCCGGATAGCCGTAGTCCATTAAAAGGGATGCCGCCGCCCCCTCCCCCGGGAAAATTATTGATCGCAGACAGTTCTGGTGGTCATTTGATGACGTCACGGCGGTCGAATCGACCGATTTTCACATTTTCTCGCAACGACACCGTTTCGCGGAAAGCGCGATGGTGCGAGTGGTTTTTGCGCGTTTTCTGACCGTTGCTCTCCTTCAGGATGGCGAAGAGGAAGAGTAGGGGGAGGAACGAGGAGGAGATGTGACTGCGATTAACGGATTTGCTCACTCAGACGCTCAAAAATGAAACTGGACATCTGTAAGAAGATGGACGATTTACAGGAGAAAATGGACGTCTCCGGCGAGAAGGAACTGTTTTTTCAAGTGTGCTCAAGCGATAAGGAGAAGAAGGGGGAGAAGGTGTTCGATGTGTTGCAGAATGTGCCTGTTATTGCTCAAAATTCCGAATTTTTGCCGGACGTTCAAAGTTGTATCGAGATTGACTCGAGCAGTGTCATCAGTATACCGGAGAACCAGATTGTGAAGATACAGTACCATGGGGAGGACGGAGTGGTCAACACGGAGTACATCGTCAACGAAGAAATCCTCCAGGTTAGTCAATTTTTTTTTTACACATATTTCGTTCTTTCTTCTTTCTATTCTTTGTTCAATCTCCTACTTTTAGTTTCCTTTGTTCTTTGTCAAGTCTGTTATTTTTGCGCAGAAAATTTTTCACCGATTTTTTAAAACTTTTTTTCTATTATTATTTCCATGTACATATATTCAAACATAAACTGAGTGCGTCAGAATTCAGAAAAATCACCTTTTAAGTATGAAAATGGCTGTAAACTATATTTCGAAAGGGGTCCCCTAGATCCTTCAAACTACTTCAAAAACTAGACATCCTTTCAAACTACTTCAAAAACAAAACACAATAGGTCCCCGAAATTTTTTCAAACTACTTCAAAAACTAGATACAACGGGCCCGCAAGATTCTTTCAAACTACTTCAAAAACAAAACACGAGAGGTCCCCGAGATTCTTTCAAATTACTTCAAAAACAAAGCACAAGAGGTCCCCGAGATTCTTCAAACTACTTCAAAAACCCGACACAAAGGGTCTCCGGAATTATTTCAACCTACTTCAAAAACCAGACACAAAGGGTCCCCGAGATTCTTTCTACCTACTTCAAAAACCAGACACAAAGAGTCCCCGAGATTCTTTCAAACTACTTCAAAAACAAAATACAAGAGATCTCCGAGATTTTTGCAAATTACTTCAAAAACAAATCACAAGAGGTTCCCGAGATTCTTTCATACCACTTCAAAAACCAGACACGAGGGGTCCCCGAGATTCTTTAAAACTACTTCAAAAACAAAAGACAAGAGGTCCCCAAGGTTCTTTCAAATTACTTGAAAAACAAAGCACAAGATGTCCACGAGATTCTTTCAAACTATGTACTTCAAAAACCAGCCACACGGGATCCTCAAGATTCTGTCTACCTACTTCAAAAACCAGACACAAAGAGTCCCCGAGATTCTTTCAAATTACTTCAAAAACAAAACACAAGAGGTTCTCGAGATTTTCTCAAATTACTTCAAAAACAAAACACAAGAGATCCCCGAGATTCTTTCAACCTAACTACTTCAAAAACTAGTCACAAAGGGTCTCCGAGATTCTTTCAAACTACTTCAAAAACCAGACACAAAGAGTCCCCGAGATTCTTTCAAACTACTTCAAAAATAAAACACAAAAGGTCCCCGAGATTCTTTCAAATTACCTCAAAAACAAAACACAAGAGATCCCCGAGATTCTTTCAACCTAACTACTTCAAAAACTAGTCACAAAGGGTCTCCGAGATTCTTTCAAACTACTTCAAAAACCAGACACAAAGAGTCCCCGAGATTCTTTCAAATTACTTCAAAAACAAAACACAAGAGGTTCACGAGATTTTTTCAAATTACTTCAAAAACAAAACACAAGAGATCCCCGAGATTCTTTCAAACTAACTCCTTCAAAAACCAGTCGCAAAGGGTCCTCGAGATTCTGTCTACCTACTTCAAAAACCAGGCACAAAGAGTCCCCGAGATTCTTTCAAATTACTTCACAAACAAAACACAAGAGGTTCTCGAGATTTTTTCAAATTACTTCAAAAACAAAACACAAGAGATCCCCGAGATTCTTTCAAACTAACTACTTCAAAAACCAGTCGCAAAGGGTCCCCGAGATTCTTTCAAACTACTTCAAAAACCAGACACAAAGAGTCCCCGAGATTCTTTCAAATTACTTCAAAAACAAAACACAAGAGGTTCTCGAGATTTTTTCAAATTACTTCAAAAACAAAACACAAGAGATCCCCGAGATTCTTTCAAACTAACTACTTCAAAAACCAGTCACAAAGGGTCCCCAAGATTCTTTCAAACTACTTCAAAAACCAGACACAAAGAGTCCCCGAGATTCTTTCAAACTACTTCAAAAATAAAACACAAAAGGTCCCCGAGATTCTTTCAAATTACTTCAAAAACAAAACACAAGATGTCCACGCGATTCTTTCAAACTATGTACTTCAAAAACCAGTCACACGGGATCCTCGAGATTCTGTCTACCTACTTTCAAAACCAGACACAAAGAGTCCCCGAGATTCTTTCAAATTGCTTCAAAAACAAAACACAAGAGGTTCACGAGATTTTTTCAAATTACTTCAAAAACAAAACACAAGAGATCCCCGAGATTCTTTCAAACTAACTACTTCAAAAACCAGTCACAAAGGGTCTTCGAGATTCTTTCAAACTACTTCAAAAACCAGACACAAAGAGCTCCCGAGATTCTTTTTACCTACTTCAAAACCCAGACACAAAGAGTCCCCGAGATTCTTTCAAATTACTTCAAAAGCAAAACACAAGAGGTTCTCGAGATTTTTTCAAATTACTTCAAAAACCAGTCACAAAGGGTCCCCGAGATTCTTTCTACCTACTTCAAAAACCAGACATAAAGGGTCCCCGAGATTCTTTAAAAGTACTTCAAAAACCAGTCACACGGGATTCCCGAGATTCTTTTAAAGTAGTTCAAATACAAAATACCAGGGGCCCTGAGATTCTTTCTAACTACTTCAAAAACCAGACACAACGAGTCCGCGAGATTCTTTCAAACTACTTCAAAAACCAGACACAAAGGGACCCCGACATTCTTTCAAACTACTTCAAAAATAAAACAAAAGACGTTCCCAAAATCCTTCAAACTACTTCAAAAACCAGACACACGGGATACCCGAGATTCTTTCTATCTACTTCAAAAACCAGACACAAAGAGTCCCCGAGATCTCAGATTCTATTAGTTTCCACTACGACTCAGAATATAATTAGCCCCGCCCACCTACCCCGCCTCCATTTCAGTAATTTGTTTTATCTAATCTACATGAAAGATGTATCTTATACTAAACAGAAATAAAAATAGTTGTTAGAGTGAGAAGAGCGCCAGTAGGCGGGGCTAGCACTTGCTAAGATAACACTGATGTTGGCAAATCACATATGCAAAAAAAAATAGAGGGCGGGTGGGCGGGCCTAGTACTTGCGACGATAAGACGGAACAATATTAAAAGAGTAGTCACTAGAATGAAGAGGGGGCGGGTGGGCGGGGCTAGTGTTTGCTAATAAGACTCTGTAGAAAAAAGCTAAAGTCAGCTCCGCCCACTTCCTTTCACCATTTCACTGACTTACTTTATTTGCTGTAAAATGAGAATTAAATTATATTTTGACGAAAAGTTTCTCAGTAATTATCAGAAAGATAAATAAATTCTTTGAGGACCATATACTAAATTATTTTCAACTATACAGAGTGTTCTGGTTTCAAGGCGAACCACACAACTTAGTTTTTTCTGATCTCAGATTCTATTAGTTTCCACTACCACTCAGAATATAATTTGCCCCGCCCACCCACCCCTCGTTCATTTCATATGTGAATTAAATGAAAGATCTATCTTATACTGAACAGAAATAAAATTAGTTGTTAGAGTGAGAAGAGCGCGAGTAGGCGGGGCTAGAAATTGCCAAGATAAGACTGATTTTAGCAAATGGCAATCCTCTAAAAAAAATAGAGGGCGGGTGGGCGGGGCTATCACTTTCTATGATAAAACTAAATTTGGCAAATCACATAGCTTCTAAAAAAATAAAGGGCGGGTGGGCGGGCCTAGTACTTGCTAAGATAAGACGGAACAATATTAAAAGAGTAGTCACTAGAATGAAGAGGGGGTGGGTGGGCGGGGCTACTGCTTCCTTGTAAGACTGTGGAAAAAAGTCAAAGTCAGCTCCGCCCACTTCCTTTCTCCATTTCACTGACTTATTTTATCTGCTGTAAAGCGAGAATTGAATCATATTTTGAAAAAGAAAGAGAAAAAAGAATTCTTTGAAGACCATATACTAAAATTATGTTCAACTATACAGAGTGTTGTTTTCAAAACGAACCACACAACTTAGTTTTTTCAAATGTAATACTCAATATATTTTTATATATTCTGAAATAAGAAATCATCTTTTGGAAAATAGTATAACAAAGAAAGTTACGATTATCATTTTTTTTTCGGATCTTAAATTCTATTAGTTTCCGCTACCAGTCAGAATCTAATTAGCCCCGCCCACCCTCCCGGCCTCCATTTCCGGGATTGGTTTTATGTAATCTAACTGAAAGATGTATCTTATTAGAAATAAAATTAGTTGTTAGAGTGAGAAGAGCGCGAGTAGGCGGGGCTAGAACTTCCTAAGATAAGATTGATTTTGGCAAATGACATATCCTCTAAAACAATAGAGGGAGGGTGGGCGGGGCTATCATTTGCTATGATAAAACTGATTTTTGCAAATCACATAGCTTCTAAAAAAATAAAGGGCGGGTGGGCGGGACTAGTACTTGCTAAGATAAGATGGAACAACATTAAAAGAGTAGTCACTAGAATTAAGAAGGGGTGGGTGGGCGGGGCTACGGCTTGTTTATAAGACTGTGGAAAAAAATCAAAGTCAGTTCCGCCCACTTCTTTTCTCCATTTCACTGACTTATTTTATCTACTGGACAATGAGAATTGATTTAAATTTTGCCTAGAGGTATCTCAGTAATTATCAGAAAGAGAAAAAAGAATTCTTTGAGGACCATGTACTAAAATTATTTTCAACTATACAGAGTGTTATGTTTTGAAAGCGAACGACACAACTTTGTTTTTTTTTTCGGATCTCAGATTCTATTAGTTTCTAGTTTCCACTACCACTCATAGTATAATTTGCTCCGCCCACTCAGCCCTCCTCCATTTCAGTGATTGGTTTTATGTAATTTAAATGAAAGATCTATCTTATACTGAACAGAAATAAAATTAGGTGTTACAGTGAGAAGGGTGCAAGTAGGCGGGGCTAGAACTTGCTAAGATAAGACTGACCTTGGCAAATGACATGTCGTCTAAAAAAATAGAGGGCGGGTGGGCGGGGCTGGTACTTACTAAGATATGACGGAACAACAGTGAAAGAGTAGTCACTACAATGACGAGGGGGTCGACGGGCGGGGCTTCTGCTTACTTATAAGACGCTATAGAAAAAAGCCAAAGTTAGCTCCGCCCATTTCCTTTTTCCATTTCACTGACTTATTTTATCTGCTGTAAAATGAGAATTGAATTATATTTTGCGAAGAGATATCTCAGTAATTATCAGAAAGTGAAATAAAAATTCTTTGAGGACCATATACTAGAATTATTTTCAACTATACAGAGTGTTTTGTTTTCAAGGCAAACCACACAACTTAGTTTTTTCAAATCGAATAATTATATATTTTTATATATTCTGAAATAAAAAATAATTCTTACAGCAAATAGTATAACAAAGAAAGTAATGATTTTTTTTTACTTTTTTCGGATTTCAGATTCTATTAGTTTCCACTACCACTCGGAATATAATTAGCCCCGCCCACCCACCCGGTCTCCTTTTCAGTGATTGGTTTTATGTAATCTAAATGAGAGATGTATCTTATACTGAATAGAAATAAAATTAGTTGTCAGACTGAGAAGAACGCGAGTAGGCGGCGCTAGAACTTGCTAAGAAAAGACTGATGTTGGCAAATGACATATTTTCTAAAAAAATAGAGGGCGGGTGGGCGGGGTTAGCACTTGATAAGATAAAAGTGATTTTGGCAAATTATATAGCTTCTAAGAAAATAAAGGGTGGGCGGGCTGGGTTAGTACTTGCCAAGATAAGACGAAACAATATTAAAAGAGTAGTCACTAGAATTAAGAGGGGGTGGGTGGGCGGGGCTACTGCTTGCCTATAACACTGTAGAAAAGTCGAAGGTCAGCTCCACCCACTTCCTTTCTCCGTGTCACTGACTTATTTTATGTACTGAAAAGTGAGAATTGAATTCTATTTTGACAAGAGGGAGAATCTAAGGTTTCAAACAAAGTCAACAGTTTTTTTTATACAATTATATTATTTCAGGCCAAGTTGTTCCAATTTTCTTGAAATTTTTTAGCAATGGAAAAATCACAGTAGGATTATTATTAAAATCTGGGTCCCAGTAATTTGTGGAGAGGTAAATAAAAATGCACACTTTATTGTTGTATAAATAAAATTGGGTTTTAATATTCAGAGTTTATAAAAAAATAAATTATAACAATTTTCAAGTGTCATAATGCAACTATAGTACGTTTAGGTTTTATAGTAGTAATAATTGATTCTAGAGGTACCTAGAGAGAGTAACCCATAAAATGCGAGCGCAGCGAGGTTCCTATAATTCCATCGATATTGATAAGACATTTTTGAAGTTCACTTTTTGAACAACAACGAAATCTTGTATCATAATTTATCTTCACGGGGACGCCATGAGTTATTTTTAGTAATACCTGAACGTGCTCGCTGCGCTCGCATTCTAAACGTGGCTGTTCTTTTTTAATTCGTAAGAACTTTACGAAAAAACTATCACAAAATCGCAAAAACTTAACTAGAACAAAGTTGTAAAAGAAGAATGTCGTAACTTTGTGGAGAGATAAATAAAATTAGATTTGAATCTACAGAGTGTTTATAAAAGTAATCAAATTATAATAATTTTTAAATTTCGATTTTTCAGTTTTATCAAATAGAACATCATGTATTTTAGTAGTGTATCTTTTTTTTTGTTTATCTCTCCATAAATTTTTTTGATGGATATAATATATAATAGATAAAATAAAAATAATTCAGCTGGATTGATAGCTATACTGACAAACTGTAAACATTGCAGTCATTTCCACTTCCGATAAATTTCCTTCCGACTATTCACTCTCAGCCCCAAACTCTTTAATTCCTTATACATTGTATTTTTAGAACAGAAACAACCGTCTCTGAACCCTTTCAGGTCCACCTCACCAACCAAAACCTGGAAGCCAATTACCTCGACATTAACGAAGACCAAATAATTTATAATCCCTCGAATGCCACGACATACGATGACCCCACGAAAACGATCGAATTGACCTCCAAGGAAGCAAGTCCAGACGAACTCAACACGAACATTCAAACGACGTCGATCCTCAGCCCCAAAAGCGAAGGAGAGGAAATGCCCGAGACCGACCTGACGAGCCTCAACTGGCTGCACAACATCACGAACATCATGGCCGTCCCCAACCTGCCCACCCCTCCCGTCTCCCCCAAACCCAAGAAAAAATCCAACTCCAACCAAGAGGACCTCACCATCAACATCAACTACTACAAGAAGAACGGCGACAAGAAGCCGCCGTTCTCTTACGCCACCCTCATTTGCATGGCCATGGGCAAGAACGGGAACAAGATGACGCTGTCGGCGATCTACCACTGGATTAGGGAGAATTTTTTGTACTATAGGAAGGCGCATCCCAGTTGGCAGGTGAGCGCTATCTCTCCGTCACCGTCTCCTTCTAACACACGTTTTTGGTTTAGAATTCGATCCGACACAATCTCTCTTTGAACAAATGCTTCGTCAAGGTGGCGCGCTCCAAGGACGAGCCCGGCAAGGGCGGGTTCTGGAAGCTGGACCTCGAGCGGCTGGAGGAGTCCCGGCGCTCCAAGCGCCGGTCGAGTTTGACCGTGCGCGTGCCGCGCAACCGGGACGCCCCCCACAAGCCCGTGCGCAAGGCCCGCAGGTACAGGCCGCCCCAGAGCACCGGCGAGCGCAAGCACAACATCCTGTCCAACATATCCATCTGCGGCGAGACCGACGTCGAGAACTGCGACGACGACGACGACAAGGAGAAGGGCAAGCCCGACGACAAGGAGGTCCAGGTGCCCAGCCAGAACGTGATAACCGAGCCGGTCAACCAGCTGCTCCCCGAGGACGAGCTGACCGGCTTGCTGCTGGCCACCAACGGCTGGGACGAGTGCCAGCTCGAGCTGCTCGACTCGTTGCTCGATTCTTTGTAATCTTCATGTTTTTACACAGAGTGGTTTGTGCCTTCTTGTGTAGCACTGTGTGAATTAGGTTGTCGTTAGGCGACTTTGTGTTAACTTTTGTACAGTTGCTCGAAACTCTTCCGTCCATTATCTGAGATAGTCTTAGAGGATAAATATTTTAATATATTGTATTGTTAAGAGTGAAGCGAGTCCGTCCTGCTCGGACGCGGGCGGCTGCCGGCCCCGGCGTGCTTCAATGTTAATAATGGCCGGGGGCGGACACCGCCCGCGAACCGACGCCTGTTTGTATCATACACTAGATTTATAATTATTGGTTCTTTTTCGGTGATCCTAGAGTTAAGTTCTGGGTCTAGTCTTAGTTGAGATCTCTACTTTACCGAACGGTATTTTTTGTATTTAAAGTGAAAATAGGTTGTAATAGATTTTTGAACAAACTGTAAAAATGTATTCTAGTCTTTTGCAATATTTGTAATTTTACACAGTTTGCTCAAATGTGCTAAACAATGATTGTATTCTGACCTTCAATAGAAGTGAACTGTATGGTGTAGTTTTAAATAAAACACCAGCTATTACAAGTAACGCTGCTTTCAACAAAAACCCCAACAACAATAGGCCACTCTGTATATACCCAACGAGATCACTGGGTATAGTACATTGGTCTCTGACTTTGACAGAAAAACCCCCAGAAAATGTTTACAATTCCAATTAATTACCGTACAGTCGGGTATTTATCATTATAAATGAAATTTAAACATCACTTACGGATATATGCAGACGAAAACCCCTTTTCCGCTACTCGCACGTCCAATTTTTCCGAAAAACAATAAACTTTTAGTGCTTTTCTCCCGTGCCATTGGCAACGAACATCTGGAAAAGTGAGGTTAGACCCGATTGTCAACAGGTTTTCTTATTTAATTTTCGGTAAAATATTCACTTTTCAGATGATTTTCAACACGTAATGACAAACACACACAACAAGTGTTCAATATTAAGGTCTGCAGTGACTTTTTGAAGTACTAAATCACCAATCAAACTTTGCCTAAAATCGTAAAAAAAACGACCTACGTGTCTTTCTCAAGTATTTCAGATCATACAATCTGCTGCAGAAGTGATAATACAACACCACCGCTAAATATTCTATCAACCTCTGAAACCCCAAAAAAAGTGAGGTTATGTGCCACATCTTGTGGTTAAAGACATGCTAAGATGAGCTCAGTCGAACGACAGGAAAAAATCAAAGAACTCGACGAAAAGTACGGAGCGGATTTGCTCGATTACGAAAAATGCAAAGAAATCTACAACAATTTGAAGAAGGAAAAGTCTGACATAGAAAAACAGGTTGACTATTTTTCGTGCAATTATTTTGTCACTATTGACACTTTTCTAGTTAAATTTGCGAGACGAGTCGTCCCTGGTTGGCAAAATAGTCAAAGATGCAGAAGTCGTTGGTGAAAAAACCAAACTACACATCGAGCGGTCAGAAAACGTGATTGAAGAAATAAGAGTCAATTTAGTCGAGGTTGAAGATGTCAGGAGAGACGTGCAGAAACGTCTGGACAAACTGCACGCCTTACAAACCACCCATCAGTACATGAAGGTCGTTGATAGGATTGAATTTCTGAGGTTGGTCAGCCTGTTTCAGCAAAAATAATAAAAAACCCTGTCATGTTTCATATTTTAGTGATGAGTTGGAGCGCGAGGTTAAGAAAAAAGACGACGAGCAGTGCGCCACCATTTTCGCCAATTTGTGCGAAGTTAGCCGAAATTTGACGGATTTCCACGGTGCCAACTTGAAGAAGTACCTCAAGGACACGCTACACTACTGGCACAACATACTCAAAGAGAAACTGTCAAAGTACGTGCCACGTGTCGCTATACTTCTTCACTATTGGCTGCATGTTTCAGGGACTTTGACGACATAATGAAAGCCTTGAAGTGGCCGTTCGTCAACGCCAACTTCAGTCTACAAACTCCTTCCTCTAATAATATTTTAAAATTACAAATCGTGGCTGAGTATCTGCTCCAGATTGAGCTTCCGAGCGAGACTGTGGACCCCCTGATCACTTCGGCGCTCTTGAGTGACTTTCCGCCTCTTTGTTTACCCGTTTCGCTTTTAATTCAGCCTTTGAAAAAACGCTTTTTGTATCATTTTTATGGGACTCGTCAGACGAATCGTTCTGATAAGCCCGAGTGGTATTTTACGCAAATACTGACCTGGATTAGGGACCACGCGGATTATTTAACTAAGTGGGTGCAACCCGTGATTGATAAACTAGGGTTGCATCACATCGACGCTAAAGTAATTAATTAATTTTGGTTGGAAATCTAGTGACTTTTGTTTTTTATAGTTGGAATTTATCAGGGGTCTTGTGCAGCTAGCAGTCGAGAAATTGTACTCAGACTTGCCGAATTTACAGTTCGATGATTTTACCTTTTCTCATTCCATAGATGAAGCGTTAGGGTTCGATAAAGAATTACGTGAAACTTACAGCTATCCAGCCACACAACCCAGTATTCTAGCGGTTTTAACACAAGCTAAAGTCATAGTCAAGTGGATGGCTATGGAAAAAAAATGTACTTGGGTTAAGTTGGCTAAAACTAAATCCCCTAGTAAAAATGTCATTTCAGACGCTACTGAAAAAATGGACGCGATGTTTTCGTCAACGACCGTCGACCCGTTCGAGCCTCTAACCTATGATATCGAAGATTTAAAAATAACGACTTGCGCAGACGCTTTTATAACCCTTCTGCAAACCATAACCGAGCGCTACGAGTCCTTACCGCAACCAGGCCACCGGTTGCAATTTCTAGAACTCCAACTAGAACTTCTGGATGATTTTAGAATAAGATTAGTCCAGTTGGTGAACGCAGAAACCGAGAACATAGTGGAGTCGAAGGTGGCCATGATTGCGAACACGATCTACTACGTGGAGAACGTTCTCGCGGATTGGGGAGCTATGTTGGTACATAAACCAATGAAAACGCGCCACTTGTTCGCTTTTCATTCATTGTCTTCATTTTAGCACTATTTGAACCTATACTATTACAAAAATCAACACAACGAGCACAAACCGCCAGCGTCTCCGAGCGGCTCCGACGACTACGACCCGACTGACCTTGAAAATGAAACCGTCTTCGGAGAAACGTTGTCTCTGTATAGACACATGAGGCGCGACTTGTTGCTAAATTTATCCGACTACGTGATGTTAGAGGTTAAGTCTCAGTGTAAAATGTACCGACGGGAGCGCTGGTCCTCCATGAAAGTCGGTAAAGACATCAAGGGGCTGTCTCTCACGCCTTCAGCCTGCCCCGTTTTTGAAATCGTGGCAAAACGCCTACACCAACTCCAGAAAACTCTAGCTTCTAAGTTATTCACCATAGTTTGGAGATCAATCGCACACCAATTAGATACTTTCCTCTTCGAGGATTTAGTTATGGATAATAGGTTCAACGACGGGGGGGCCCTCCAACTCAAGTACGACGTCACAAGAAATCTCCTGCCTTTATTCTCGCAGTTCACGGAAAGACCCGAAAGCTATTTCGTTCAGTAAGTGTGCGCAAAAAGCGGGAAATTTTAAAACGTTTCAGGTGTTTTGTTTGATTAGGTTACTGGAAGCTTGTAGTTTGTTGAATATTACAAAAGGGTCAGCTTTGTTGCTACGAGAGACGTTGTTGGCGCTAGAAGGGGCCACGGGGGTGGAGGATACGAGGCCTCAGGCTTTGAAGGAGATCGGAGTCGTGCAGTTCTCACCACACATGGCTGTCAAAATTCTGAATCAGAGGACCGATATTACTGTTAACAGGATGGATGTTGATTAATTTATTGCATTTATTTAAGCGTTGTTGTTGGAGTAATTTTGTAATAAAGGCTTTTGTTATTAATTGTTGCTTAAATTTAGTGTGGGTCACTGTGTATATATCAAAACGAATCGCTGTGTATATATTGTAAGACGTAAGTGTTGTCACTAGAAAAGTCCCTAGATTTTTGACGTTTCCACTAAAATTGCTATTTGTGTCGTTTATATCAACTGAGGGTGAAAATTCGGGATGAAATAACGTAATAATCGTCATCCGCTCTTGTATTTTCCGTGAAATTTCGCCACAATTCCCTCCCGAGTTGGTGTTTTTCGCCGCGTGTGTTGGCACCCCTGCCTTACATAATGGCGTTTTGTTAATGGCGTAAAGGTGTTCAAGAATCTCGAATAAAAAAGAAACTTGTAAACGCCACTATTTGCCGTTTTTCGTTCGTCGTAGTGACCGCAATGTCCAAAGGGGGCAAATTCAACAAACCAACATGGAAAAGTCAATACAGCGGTGAGTTTCCACGTCCATTTGTCCCCCGTTACAAAGTGCGTCATTTCCCAGAACACGATTTTCGTGGCGGTGGCGATACCCGAAAAGTAATTTTCAAGACGAATAAACACAAAAAGGATAACAGAGACTGGGTGTCGGCGGGCAGATCCTACCTCCAAGATGAAGACATCGACATGGGGGGCTCCTCTGGGGGCGGGCGCTACTCGAAGAAGTTCTACAAAAGAGACAAGAAGCGGGGCACGCCGCCCCCTAACCACAAACGCAGGTTAATGGAAGGCCCCATGAGCTGGTTTCGTGTAACGGTGAGTAATAAATTCGCAAAAAGCGAGGTTATAGTGGTTGTTTTAGTTGCCGTTTGGAAACAAGTACGAGAAGTCGTTCGTCCTGAAGACGCTTTTAGATAAAATCCAGCCGCTGCCGCTGTGGCCGATCACGGTGAGTACCCCCTTTGCCTAGTGTGTTGATAATAAAGTTTGTACAGTGGAAAGTGAACGGGCACGTAGTGACGTTCTTCGTCGACGATTTCAAAGTGGCGGAGAAGCTGAACGACCTCGATCGCCAGATTCAGATGCCCGATGGGTTCAAGTTGTTGGTGAAGGTGCACAATGGGATACCCAACGTGGATGTGAACGAGGATTTGAAGGAGAAGATTAAGCTCACGATGGCGAAGAGATACAACGCGCCGAATAAAGCGTTGGACTTGACAAAGTTTCATGCAGATCCTGATTTGCAGGATGTTTTTTGTGCGCTGTTTAAGCCGGTCGTGTTTTTGACTGTGGTGGAAATCATAGCGGAGAATATTCCTGAAATTGAGGCCATTAATTTGTTTGATAATAAAATCGCTAATTTGTCGTTCTTAAAGAAGGTTAAGGAGAAGCTGCCACATTTGAAGATTTTACACATAGGGAATAATAAGGTGGGTGGATTTTGGGGGGGTTGGAGTGGGGGTTTTTTGGTAATTTTGGTTTATAGTTTAGGGATATTTCAATGTTGGACCCTTTCATTGGATTACCGATTGTTGATATAGTGTTGAATGGGAATCCACTGTGTTCCAAGTACAAGGATCAGGAAGCCTACATCGGGTAAAGTAGACCTAATTTTTATTTCAACAGATGTTGATGACTTGGTATGGTGTAGCAGCAGAGAAGTATGATTGAGAGAAAAAGAGGTTTTTTAAAAATTTTGCGTATCGCTAAACATGGCTGTTGTCCACCATTTTGTACAGAAAACTGATTTAAACATGATACACAATTATGAGGAGTATTTTTTATTTTTTCAGTTTCTGCAATAATAATCACAATTCATCACTAAAATGTAACCAATAATAGTTTTAAAGCAGTGAAAATATTCAAACAAGTACGATTTCAACAAGATTTTTTTTCATTGTGAGTTTATAAGTTCAGTTATTTTCTTTCTCATAAATAGACAAAGAGGAGAGTACAACGCACGTGGAGTTTAAACTAAGTCTGACAATTGTGTACAAACAGCATGCAAGATTTTTGCTGTAGAAAGGAGCAAAGTGGATTTACCACAACAACCCATCTTGGAGTACCGCAAGTCAAGCACTTGTGTGTTACAAAAACCCAGTGACCAGCAACTAGGTTTGAGTGGAATTTTCCACGACATTAACAGTGGCCTCCTCGTTGAACAAAATTACTCTTGTCGAGTTTTTAAATTCAATTCAAGATTGTAGATCTTGTTGAAATCGTGTTTATGAAAAAAAAAAAAAATTTGAATAGTTTTTGTGAACTGCTACAATTTTGACTAAGTTACAACACATTTTAATGACGATTTGTTGGTTTTTTATTTTGTTTAAAGCAGAAGTTTTCACTATTGTTACAACACTACTCATAATTTTGTTTTATTTGAAATCAGTAATCAAAATTTGCGATTGTTGGGTTGGAAACAGCCGTGTTGTTTGATTTTTGTGGCGTGTAAAGCATTTGTAGATTTTTAGTGAGGTAGAGGGGGTACACTTTTAAAACGGTTGCTGTCTGGTGGATCGTTGGAAAAAAATCGCTAAAACAATCAAAATTTTCTTTCAAAAATATTTTTTATCAGAGATTCAGTGGCATTGAGTGAATTTTATTGGTTGTGTTTGCGCAACATGGAAGATCTAATGAGTTGTCAGGTTGGCAACATTTAAAATTTTATTATGGCATACCTGATTGTCAAGTGCAAATTTTGGGCACCAGGTCATCTTCTCATCGTGTTTGTTACGGCCGCTTTATGTCACAATTAACAACAAGTGACATGATATCATTGCTGCCAATAATTCAGAATTGCCAACAAAAAAATTTGGCTCAATCCGTTAAATATTTGTTCATAAGATACAAAATGGCGGATTTTTCAACAAGTCTTGATATTTCCATATTTCCTGTCATCATGAAGTCACTTATTTAATTTTTGAAGTATTTTAGTTAATTTTGTTTTGTGTTTCTACCTTTTTAATGTAATATTCAACGTTTGTGACATTTTCTTCATCAGAGGTCAACTGTTCTTTTTTAACATTAATTTTGTGCATTAAATTGTCAATTTGGTAACACTATAAAATCATGTGGTAACCCTGGAGGTGCCAACTTCTTACTGAAGCAGGGTATAAATGTAGTATCCTGTCGCACCTGCAGGGGATGGAACTTTTGCTTCTATTCACATTAGTTTAGTGACTTTTGTTCATTGGTTGTTGACACTGTCTCCAAAATTAAAAAATCACTATCAACTTTTTAGAAATTTTGACATTAAAGACGAATTGACATTTCTAGGTTTTTTTTTACATGAAAAAAGTGATTTTTTAGTTTTAGTTGACCAGTAACACGAACAAAATAGTCCATTTTGACTGTCACTAGATGTTTTAGTCTTCATATCGACCAGTTTTTACTAAAAAGTGTGAAATTATAGACTTCAAATTGACTCCCAAATATTGGTTGCGATTTTTTTTTGTCACGTTGCCAACGTGTTTAAAATTGTATGATGGCATACTTGATTGTCAAAAGAAATTTAGAGCACCAAGTCATCTTCTCATCACACGTCTGTAAGGCGCTCTTGTCAAAGTTGACAACTGTGAACTGACATGTTGACATTGCTGGCTCTAATTCAGAATTGCCAACACAAAAATTTACGTTGATCCATTCATGGCCGACTTACTAGTCCATCCATTATCATTCTAGGTTAATAATTTCGAACTATTGACAGATGACAGTAATAACGAAGTTACAAGTTGACATTAGAGGTTATAAAAAAATTCAGGAGTAATATTTATTAGGAGGTTCTTGATAGAGTACTTCTTTGTTGGTATTAGGTTATGTGTCCATGTTGTTTTCTACATATTTCCATGTGACGTCACTTTCTTCTATATAAATCGCCTTTTTTACATAAATACTATATACTGATAAAATTCACTCCAGACACAACAATTACGCTACAAGCAAATTTCCAAAACCAACTTGATCACGCCAGTACCACCACCATCCCTCCCTCCACCCCGTTGCTTTACCCCTACCACCAGCTCGTCTCAGCTCGTGGTACCGGTCGCACGCACCACCTCTCAACTTCCATTTTGACTAAAACCTCTTCTTTTTCATCTGACTTAACTGAGCAAACCTTCACCTTCATTGTGCTAACACCTTCGGGTCACTCTTCTCTTTCCGCAGTGAAGTCCGCAAGCGCTTCCCGAAAGTAATGAAACTGGTAAGTACCCTCCCCTTTGTACGTCCGCACCCAACCCGCTCTGTTCAAGGACGGAATCGATCTACCTCCTCCAATCAGTTTCGATATATCCGAAGAAGTCCACCTGCCGCCAAACCTACAAACTTTCTTGGTCAGTCAAGACGGCGAATCCATCGTGCGCCAATTCCTCGAACAGTATTTTACCATTTTCGATTCGGAGAACCGGCAGCCGCTGCTGCAGGCGTACCACGAAAGCGCCTTGATGTCGATGACGATGTCGTACCCGTATGGGCAGAGAGATAAGAGCGGCAGCTGGCTGAACTGGTACACGACGGATAACAGGAATATAATGAAAGTGCAGGACCCGGAGCGGAGGCAGAGGTTGCTCAAGCAGGGGCACGTGGCGGTGGTGCAGTTCCTACAGGAGATGCCGCAAACGAAGCACGATATACACAGCTTCACGGTGGATTTGGTGATTTTTACGGTGAGTACGGTCATTGTTTAAGTATATTATAGTTGGACAACCTAATACAAATTTTACTTCGCCTAAATAGTGAGCTTTAGGACAAGGAATCCAGGGGGCGTGGGACAAATTTTTCGTCAACGCGCATTTTCACTATAGTGAGCCAACGTATTAGGTTTATTTTACTCTAAATCAGATGGCGCCATCAAACATTAGCAAAGGCAAACACCCTTCACGCTGCTCTTATACGAGGAGTTATCCATAAACTCCATAATTAACATTGTTCCGTAAACATATGTGTACAAAATATGAAAATATACTTGACATAAAAAAATATGAAGCAACGCGTTGTAACGTGATAAGAAAGAATTGAATTTAAATGAATTTGAGGCATATTTTTATTTGACTATATCTGAAGACTGACAGAAACTTTCCAAGGGTTTTTAAACTGGTATAATTGTTTAGTTTTACAAGATTAAAGTAAAACAAGATTTTAAGTAAAATTTAGATTCGTGGTGTTACAAAAATATTAACACAAAATGAAAATATATGTTCAAAGTAAATAACAGAATGACATAAACTTTCGGCGTTAACATTACAAATAGTTACAAGAGAGAAAAAAACGCATTAAGAACTTAAGAGGCATGTTTGTAATATCGAGTTGTTAAAGGCTGCTTTGAAGACTGTTTGTTTCTATGAAAAACAATTGCTGTTATCGGACATTTTGGTAGATTTTGTTCCAAAAATACGAGATAACTAATTGTTTCTTGAACTAGTTTCCGTAACTTCTAAAATTTAAAAAGGATACGCCGTTCTGCTGTAATTAAATCTAGAATAAGGTCAAAATCACACTAATATTACATCTGATTTTGTTAACCACATGAATATAATTTACATTAAAATAAGTTACGGACATTGTTTGAAATGTTTATTATAGTTCGAATACAAGATAAAATAAATAAATAAATAAATAAAATGTGCAGTTTATAAACTTCAGAATTTTAGTAAAAATATAATCATGTTTGAAGCTTTATTTTGTCTGTTCGATTTTATTGGGTGTATTGGGCCCCTCTCGGGATATAACACCGACATCAGTGCACCGACCCAACGTTCTTCAACCGATGGGATGATTTATTACTTCCGTTATGCTGGCCCTACACACAGCGATTTGGTTTTCGGATTTTCGGCTAGATCTGCACAGTTAAAACTTTTTGCACACAGAGTATTTTGTTCACGCCAGCATCAAAAATACTACGCCGAAGGCACTTCTTCAAGTGTTATTTTTTTTAAGATGTCATATTTGTCAGCGTTTCCAAAATTTTCTTCTTTGCACAGGTCAACTAATTTTTCGTAAAAAGCATTTTAAAATTTTTGTTATTGTATTTTTTACTTTTTAATTTTCTAAGGCATGAAAAAATCCCATATAGGTTTCTATGAATTTATTAACGAAATCAACTGAAAACTTGCGCGCCATTTTGTGTTAATTAATACCAATAGTGATTATGATAATTTTATAATTATCATTTTAATGAAATTGTGTTCTTCACTTCGCGAACGACAGCAAACAATTTAAAATTACCGCTAGTCAAGCACCTGAAAATCCATCTCTCCCAAATATGTCTTTCTTGGCACGATTTGTAATCCGAAGTCTCCCTCCACATGCAATTTTTCGTCGCCTGAGAACTTGTTTGATCTACAGACCAAAGCACACTCAGGCCAATATCGGCTTTAAGCGATTTATCTATAAACCGATATTCGTTAGAGTTGATGTGATACACATCCACTGCGAAGAACTAACCCATTTCGACCATTGGACTCTACAACGAATAAGTGAACAAAGTTCTTGAACATCTTAACGATTTAATACATAATGTTCCCGAATGACAAAATTTACATTTCAAATTGTATTATCAAATTACACTCTCCAAAATTTGTCAAATTTTACAATAGTAAAATTGTAGTTTCGCCCCGTTTACGGTTTATGCATCCGTGTCGAGTTTTCAGCTTAGACGTCAAGATTTTTAGAAAAAATAAATCAACATTTTCCAATTTATAATGTTACTTAAATTTTAAAAAGTAGAATAGTCCTGATCTTGTGATTTATACCTAAATACGCTATTGGGATTTTTCGTCTTGTCGATTTCTCGATTTTTCAACTTTAAATGTCTCAATTTTTCAATATTTCAATTTTGGGCTTTTCCGATTCCTCCATTCTTTAAATTTTCTATTTCTTGAATTTTTTATTTTTCGATTTCTCAATCTTTCGATGTTTCAATGATACGATTTCTCAATTTTTGTCCTCTTCAATTTTACGGTTTTTAAATATTTCGATTTTTCAAATTTTCACGTTTCTAAATTTTCAGTTTGCCGATTTCTAAAGTATTTTTTTATTTGTCCATTTCTGGATTTCCTGAAGTTTCGATTTTTCACATCTTCATTTCCTCAATTTTTCGATTTTTTAAGATTACGATTTTTCAATTTTGCTTTTTTAGATTTTCGATTTCTCAATTTTCCAATTTTTTGAATATTTCTTTCAGTTATGACATTTTTCAATATTTCAATTTTTCGACTTTTCGATTTTTGAATTGATGGATTTTTTTTGATTTCTCGCTTTTTTCCTTTTTGGATTTTCAATTTATTGTAAACTTTAGATTTTTCAATTCTGCGACTGTTTAATGCTTCGATTTCTCAATTTTTAAACTTTTCGATGTTTTAATATTTCATTTTTTAAAATTCTAGGTTTTTCGATATTTCGAGTTTTCAGTTCTTCTATATTTCAATTTTTCGAATTTTAATTTTTGATTTTCCAGTTTTTCTTTTTTAAAATTTTTCGATTATTCAATTTTTTAATTTCCCAATTTATCGAATTCAGATGTTTCGTTGTTTTGATTGTTCAATTTCTCAGTTTTTCAATTTTTAACTTTCCTTTTCGGTTTCCGACTCCTCAATTTCTCGATCCTCCGATTTTTCGATTTCTCGAAGTCTCAGTTTTTGAATTTTTCGATGTTTCGATTTTTGGATTACTCGGTTTTTCGATTTTTTTCTTTTGAGCTTTTCAATTTCTTGATTTTCCAATTTTTCAATGCCCCGATTTTTCAATTTTTCAAATTGAATTGGATCTCTCGATTCTTCAATTTTGCGATATTTTAATTATTCATTGTTTTAAATTTTAGTTTTTTCGATTTCTCGATTTTTTGACTTTTCAGTTCTTCAGCATTTAAATTTTTGAATTTTTCAAATTTTTGCGTTAAATTTTCAGTTTTCTGATTTCTCAATTAATCTTTCTTTGATTTTTCGACTTCGCTTTATTGGTTTGTCGATTTCTCAATTTTTGGATATTTCTTTCAGTTTTGATATTTTTCAATACTTCGATTCTTTCATTTTTCGACTTCTAGATTTTTCTATTTTTTATTTTTGGATTTTCAGTTTTTTGTTTTTTATTTCAATTTCTCAATTTTTCAACTTTTTCACATTTTAATTTTTAAATTTCTAGATTTTTCGGTTTCTCGAGTTTCCAGTTCTATATTTTAATTTTTTAAATTTACGAATGTTTAAATTTTTTGAGATCTCAATTCATTGAGATTCGGATGTTTCGATGTTTTGATTATTCAATCTCTCGCTTTATCAATTTTTCCATATTTAAGTTTTCGATTTTTCGATTTTGGCCTACTTCGGTTTCTCAATTTTTTGATTTTTCGATTTCTCGATGTCTCAATTTTTGAATTTTACAATTTTTTGATTTGTTGGTTTTTAGATTTTTTGCTTTTCGGTTTCTCGATTTTTCGATGTTCCGATTTTTGATTTATCCGATTTTTCAATTGTCCAATTTTTTAAATTCTCGACTTCTCGATTCGTTGATTTTTCAGTTTTTCGATTATTAAATTCTAGATTTTTATTTATTTTTTTTTTTTTATTATTTTTTGATGTTTGGATTTCTCCATTTTTCAGTTTTAGGATATTTTAACTTTTCAATGTTTTAAATTTTAGATTTTTCGATTTTTTAGTTCTTCAATATTTTTTTATTTTTCAAATTTTGACGTTTCTGAATTTTTAGTTTTCGGATTTCTCAATTAATCTATTTTTTTATATTCCCATTTCTCCACTTCCTAAAGTTTCGGTTTTTCAGTTCTTCAGTTCTTCAATTTTTCGATTATTCAGGTTTTTGATTTTTCAATTTTTCGATTTTTTAAGTTTGCGATTTTTAGACTCTGCTTTTTTGACTTTTTTGTTTCTCAATTTTTTAATTTCCTAATTTTTTGATATTTCGTTCAATTTTGTGATTTTTCAGTTTTTCGATTTCTCAATTTTAACTTTTCAATTTTTGAAATCATTAATTTTTTTCGATTTTTTGAGTTTTCAGTTCTCTATATTTCAATTTTTCAATTTTCGGAATTTTTAAATTTTCGATTGTCCAATTTTTTTTTTTATTTTTCGATTTTCCAATTTTTCGATGTTTCGATTTTTGAATTAACCGATTGTTCAATTTCTCGATTTTTAAATTTTAGATTTTCCAATTTTAATTTTTACTTCCCGAGCGTAAGCAAAGGAAGTATTGTAATCGAGTCCGTCGGCCGACTCTCTACTTTTACGTTTTCTCGATCTTTCATGACCCCTAGAAGACGAAGAAATAGGTCTCCCATTTCCGTCTGTCTGTCCGTCTGTCCGTCCGTCTGTCCGTCCGTCTGTCCGTCTGCCCCCGGATTTTTATTAGACAGATAATCTCCGAAAGTACTCGACCGATTGTTGTGAAATTTTGTACTTATATTAAGAATATCATGTAGATGGTAAAACGCTAACAAAAATTTGTCTAATCATCCCCACCACTAATGCGATGACGTCACTTCAAAATTGTACATAGTAAATGGGTTTTCAATTGTATAAAATAACATAGTCCTACACATGTAGTTTACAACTCTGAATCGACTTTTCACCCGAAACGTCCAGATTTTTGGAAAAAAAATCAAAATTATAAAACAACATTTTGAAATTTAATTTTTAATCTGCTAACCAGAATGCTTTGAAATGTTGCAGATGTTTTAAGGCTATAAAGAGCATCATAAATCTTTAGTCAAAAAATATTTGCTTATCCCCTCCAAAAACTTGATGACGTCAGCTCAAAAGTTTGTGGAATAAATCATATCTAAAATGTACAAAATATGATGAGCCTGTACTTGTGATCTATCACTCCATTCATATTTTTTGGATTTGCATATACAGGTGACTCAAAAAAATTAATGAATGCGTAAATATATTTTATTGATTTAATCAGGAACTACAAAACCGAATGCTCTGAAATCTTGCAGATGTTTTAAGGTCATAAAGAGCATAATAAATGTTTAGTCAAAATATATTTGCTTATCCCCTCCAAAAAGTTGATGACGTCAGCTCGAAAATTTGCCGAATAAATCATATCTAAAATGTACAAAATATGATCAGTCTGTACTTGTGATCTATCACTCCATTCATATTTTTTGGATTTGCATATACAGAGTGACTCAAAAAAATTAATGAATGCGTAAATATATTTTATTGATTTAATCAGGAACTACAAAACGGAATGCTCTGACATCTTGCAGATGTTTTAAAGTTATAAAGAGCATAATAAATGTTTAGTCAAAATATATTTGCTTATCCCCTCCAAAAAGTTGATGACGTCAGCTCGAAAATTTGCCGAATAAATCATATCTAAAATGTACAAAATATGATCAGTCTGTACTTGTGATCTATCACTCCATTCATATTTTTTGGATTTGCATATACAGGGTGATTCAAGAAAATAAATGAAAGCGTAAATTTATTTTACTGATTTACTCAGGAACTACAAAACCGAATGCTTCGAAATCTTGAAGATATTTTAAAATTATCATAAGCATGGTAAATTTTTGATCAAAACGTATTTGGTCGTCCCCCCTAAAAAATTTATGACGTCACCACAAAATTTTGCTGAATAAATCCTATCTAAAATGTACAAAATATAGTGAGTCTCTTCTTGTGATTTATCATTCCATTCAAATTTTTTCGATTTGCATATACAGGGTGACTCAAAAAAATTAATGAATGCGTAAATTTATTTTATTGATTTAATCAGGAACTACAAAACCGAATGCTTTGAAATCTTGCAGATGTTTTAAGGTTATAAAGAGCATAATAAATTTTTAGTCAAAATATATTTGGTTATCTTCTACAAAAAACTGATGACGTCAGCTCAAAAGTTTGCCGAATAAATCGTATCTAAAATGTACAAAATATGATGAGTCTGTACTTGTGATTTATCATTCCATTCATATTTTTGGATTTGCATATGCAGGGTGACTCAAAAAAATTAATGAAGGCGTGAATTTATTTTATCGATTTAATCAGGAATTACAAAACCGAATGCTTTGAAATCTTGGGAATATTTTAAAGTTATTATAAGCATGGTAAACTTTTGTTCAAAATGTATTTGTTCATCCTTCCTAAAAAAATTGATGACGTCACCCTTAAATTGTGCTGAATAAATCCTATCTAAAATGCAAAAAATATGATGAGTTTGTACTTGTGATTTATCATTCCATTCATATTTTTTAGATTTTCTTAAGAGGTGGTTCAAAAAAATTAATGAAGTCAATTTATTTTATTGATTAAATTAAAGGCAACACTTATTATTAGTATTACACCCCAACCAACCCAATTTGGTAGACACAAAATTTGTTAAAGGAAAAACTCGGTTGAAACATAAGGGTAGCACGCTTATTTACATTACATTTTACTTTAACATTACAGACCTGCATTTGTTTTATGCGCTCACTTGGTTCCGCGAATGTGAAATAGACATGTTTATAATCAACCAATTGTGAATTTCACCGTCAAGAATTAAAATAAAACCCAATGTTTTATATAATAAGCGGAAGTCGAAGCAATAAAACCGATGGTCGTTTTGTTTACAGTTTCTCTGTTTGACTCTCACGTATGCTGTTACGCCTGTCATCTTAAATTAAGAATGTTTATACATACACGATTTTCAGTTGCCTCTGATACGTATACGTGAGTAAATTGTTTCGTTATTTTATTGATTATTACAAATCAATATTCAAAACGACCCTATTCATTTTCCCGAAAATTTGAGAATATAATAATTTTATTCTTAGTATTACACTACATCTATCCCAACTGATATACGTGTCCTTGCAAAAATGTTGATGACGTCATCGCAATTTTTTTTTAAATTCCCACTACAAAAATGTAATGAGAAAAAAACACAATAGGCATGCAGTCGTCAAGTTTCCGACAGCGAGGGAAGTACTGTCTAAACTCTTTAGACCAATTTTTTTCTACATGGGAAAGTGATTGTCCGTATAGGTTGTCCAACTATAATATACGTAAACAATGGTACGGTGGTAGGAGTGACAGGGTTTGACTGAGGTGGTACTGTTGCAGCCGCAAATGATCGTGCTGACGGTCACGGGGATGTACAAAGAATTGAAAACCGGGCACAAGGTGCCGCCGACGAGGTCGTTCTTCCGGACGCTGGTGATAGTACCGGCGGGTACTGGGTTTTGTATAAGCAACGAGACGTTGCACGTCACGAACGCGACGGAGGACCAGGCGAAGGTGAAAAATCGTCACCATCATCATCATTATTGTTATTATTATTGTTTTTGTAGAACTTGTTTAAAATCGTGGTACCGGCGGTGCCCGCGGCAGCACCGTCTGCGCCTGCGCTGGACGACAGCACGAAGCAGCAGATGATCGGGGCGATGTCCGAGCAATCAGGGATGAACATAGAGTGGTCGAGGAGGTGAGCGAGTCGCGTGTCGGGGGCGTTAATTGAATTTGGGTTACAGGTGCCTGGAGGAGACCCAGTGGGACTACACGAGGGCAGTGGGGGCCTTCACCGACGCGCAGAAACAAGGACTAATTCCACCTGAAGCATTCGTAAAATAGGCCTACTTTATGTTAATACTTTTATAAACCTCTATGTTATTTCTTTTAAGCCATCGAGTACTTTTTTATTGTGTAAATATTTTCTATTGTTGTGGCTGTACATAGGTGAATCATAAGTTTGAACGGCGTTAGCGTTATTTTTTTAATAAATATTTATGAAAGTGTTGGGTGTTTTGCGGATGGACCAATCTCGGTATGGTGGAGAGGCAAGTGGGCGGAGTCGGGTCAATAAAAACCAAAGTCGTGTGCAAAAGTTTTGATTCAATTAACAAACTGGGGTGAACATTTCCTCGCCGCCTAGGCCTCGCAGTATGTTTTGTGCTGTAAGTTCCGCCATGGCGTTGCGGGTGTTCTCGGTGGCGCTACCCAAATGCGGGATTAGAACTTCAAAATAAAACGCACTCTCACTAAACGATTTTTTTTTTCAAAGGGTGTACTTACCGACGTTTGGTAACTTAGCCAATTCGTTGTCTGGAGGTAGTGGCTCTGGGGTCATCACGTCCAGCCCCGCCGCAAAAATCTTACCTCCTTTTAAAGCCCTCACCAGAGCGTCCTGGTCCACCACGTCCCCCCTACTTATATTAACAAAAACCGCACTACTTTTCATCTTCCCGAAAATTCCATCATTGAACATCAGCTTCGTCTCGGAGGTCAGCGGACACGAGACTATCACAAAGTCGCTTTCTTTGACCAGGGTGTCCAGAGAGACGAAGGTGCACCCCAAATCCGTCCCTTCAGGCTTCTCGCGATGTCCCGTATACAAGAACTTGCCCACGGAGAACCCTTTCAGCCTCTTCACGATAGCTTGGCCTATCCCCCCCAGTCCTACAATCCCGACCGTCGATCCCACAATGTCCTTCCCCAACATCCAAGTCAAACCAGGGGTCCATTCGTTCCTGAAAAACCTTTATTAGTTACACTGTCACCATCTGCATGGTCGTACTTTTCGATCTTCAGACGACCTTCGTGGAGCCGCCTGGAGGCGCCTAGTGCTAAAAGAACAGCGATGTCGGCGACGGCGTCATTCAAAACCCCCGTAGTGTTACCCAGCTTCACTCCGCGCTTTTTTAATTCAGGGACGTCGATGTGGTTGACTCCGGCCGACATAGTCCCAACCGTCTTCATCTGAGGACCTGAAACGGTGTGAATGCACGTCGACTACCAAGCTACTCATACCAAATTTTACCGGCTTTGTCCAGGATTTCGGCGTCCAGCTTTTGCGAAGTCGCCCAGAACAAAGCGTCCACTCCTGCCGCCTTTTCCAGGATCGAGGCACGGGTGTAGTCCTTGGTCCTTATCACCTCGCACCTGCAACGTCACCTTTACCGACTCGAGTGCGACTTTAGGGCACTTACTGTCGCTCCAAAATGTCGAAGGCCACTTGGGGGATCGAAGGATTCGTCATTAAGACCTTGGGCCGCTGCATCGTGACGCTATTGTCTTGACTAATACACCGTCTACACCGCAACTGCAACGGTTTTACGTAACTCAAATTATCTTATCTTCACTATCAACTACTTCAATACTAAAAACAACCGATTCATCTAGTTAAGTCCTACACAGAAGCGTATTAAGCGCTATAAAAAGGTGATAAATCCTCTGATTTAGCTCTGGAATTTTAGCCGATTTACAACAATGAGCTAATCGCTCAATTTCACTTACATTAGCGAAAGATAATCGTATTAAGTTCAAGGATATGTTGATGCGGTGATTACAATTACGGAATGTTTGTGTAAATACTAGGGTTACGCGGTGGCGCCATCTGATATCGGTGTTAATTTTCCTTCCGCCCAGATAATTCTTAATTATAATTGGTGTAAACACGCGGTCTAGTTTTCACTGGTTGCGAACCATTATTTAACGTAAACACACGAGTGTGCAAGATTTTTTGCACAACCTTGACCTTATCTATGTAAATCGCTAATCAGCGCACTCATCCTGTCCTACATTCGTTTTTTCAGACACTTGGTTTATTTTTCGATCGTAATTCGAGGTTAATGTTATTTTCTTAAAAGTTAACACCTTGGATATTTTCGCGAACAATCGGTTCCCGAAAACGATAATCCGAGTAAACATGGTCATGGGAAAGTCGATAATTTCGGGAATTTTCCGTAGTTTGCTAACTTCATTTCCGGTTGGTTTAATAGGACTTGCGTCAATTACGTTACCGTAAACATAAATCGAGAACTGGTTTGCACAAATCAAGTCTAATTGAAATGCAAACGACTCAATTATATTGCTTAACATAATTCAGATTTGTTGTTGTCAGAAATGGAAAAATTGAAAAATCACAATTGAAGAAAGAATTGAAAAATCAAGAAATATAGAAATGGGAAAATCAAAAAATCAGTTAATCGAAAAATTTAGAAACGTCAAAAATTGATATATATATATAATAAAAATTTAAAAATCGTATCAAAAACTAAAAATTCAATAAATCGAGAAATTGAACAATCAAAAAATCAAAACATTGAAATCCCAGTAAGTTGATAAATAGGAAAATTTAAAAAACAAAAATTTTAAAAATCCAAGAATTGAACAAAAAAAAATCTAAGCCTGAAAACTCAGAATTTGATAAGATAAGACTGATTTTGGCGCTTTTGACATTTTCGACCATTTTTTCAACTATTCTCAAGTATAACAAAAAAAGTTACAACTAGTGCTTTTTTTTAGTTTTTTCACATCCTAGATTCTGTTATTAGTTTCCACTCCCATTCGACAGAAGAACATAATTAGCCCCGCCCACCCACTCGGCCTTCTTTACACTGATTAATTTTATCCGATCTGAATAAAATCAATATTTTTATATTGAACAGATATAAAATTCGTCGTTAAAATCGGAAGAAAGGGAGTGGTCGGGGCTAAGACTTGTTAAAATAAGACTGACTTTCGCAAATGACATATCCTATAAGACACTAGAGGGTGGGTGGGCGGGGATAGACTTGATAAGATTAGACTCTTTTGGCAAATAACATATCTTCCAAAAAATACAGGGCGGGTGGGTGGGGCGAGTACTTGCTGCAATAAGACTGATTTTGGCAAATGACATATACTGTAAGAAACTAGAGGGTGGGTGGGCGGGTCTAGTATTTGATAAGATACGACTGATTTTGGCACTTCTGATATTTTCGATCAATTTTTAACTCTTTTCCGACAGTTTTGGCTTCGTTTCTTCGGAAATTTCTGCCGTCTTTCCAAAATCGCTGATTGAAATATAGCAGTTTTTAGTTTCATCAAAATAGCTCGAAATAAAAATTTTGTAGCGCTTGTTTTATTTTGTCACCTCCTAAATTCTATTATTATTTTCCACTCCCACTTGACAGAAGTTTATAATTAGCCCCGCCCACCCACCCTGTCTGCTTTTCAGTGATTTATTTTATCAGATTTGAATGAAGATTAACAAAAAATTTTGAGATGCAAATCTCAACGTGCTAATTCGAAGAATATAAGAGTTTTTTGTTCCAGAGCAAGCTTTTTTAAATATTCGGTTTAAACATTTTTTTTTTATGATCCTGAAAATTGCCATTCGTGAGTTCGCGATTCTGCAAAGATTGTACTGAAAAATTAAGTTTTGACAAAATGGCCTAAAAGTCCACAAAGAGTTCTGGGATATCGAGATGTCGATCCCAACGTGCTGATTTGAAAAATAATCGAGTTTTTATGGTTCTAGACAAGATTTTTTTAAAGATTCGGCTGCAACGTCAAATCTTTAAAAATTCCAAAATTTCCAACATTTCAATTGTATTTTAGTTTGCACTCTCACGCGACCGAAGAACATAATTAGCCCCGCCCACCCACCCTGTCTCCCTGTCAGTGATTGCTTTTATCAGAATGGAATGAATGATCTTATACCGAACAGAAATAAAATTAGTCGGTAGAATTAGTAGAAGGGGTGGACGGGGCTAGTATTCTTCCTAAGATAAGACTGATTTTGGTCAATGAAATTATAGCTTCCAAGAAAATTGAGGGTGGGTGGGTGGGGCTAGTATTTGGTAAGATAAGACTGATTTTGGCAAATGACATACCTTCCAAGAAAACAGAGGGTGGGTGGGCGGGGCTAGTATTTGATAAGAAAAAACTGACTTTGGCACTTCTGACATTTTCGATCAACTTTTAACTATATCCGAAAATTAGTTGAAGACATTTTCTTGTAGATATCGATATCCAAAAGTCAGTTTCGGCTTCATTTCTGCGGAAATTCCTACCGTTTTTCCGAAATCGCTGACTGAAATACAGCAGTTTTTACAGATTCGTCAAAAGAGCTCGGTATAAAAATTGAGATTTTGAAGAAATGGCCTAAAAGTCTACAACAAGTTCTGGGTTATCGAAATATCCATCCCAACGTGGTGATTTGGAAAATATAGCGACCAAAATTGTTTAAATATTCGGCTCGAACGTCAAATCTTGAAAAAATTCCAAAATTTCCAACATTTCATTGGCGATTCTGAAAAAGTGGTAGGAATTTTCTAAGAAATGAAACCTAAAATAATTTCCAGAAGTTGAATTCTACAAAAAAACGACCAGCTAATTTTTACAGGGGGTCGGAAAATGATCACACAATTCACAACACTTGTACTGAAAAATTGAGCGTTTGAAAAAAATAACCTAAAAACCTACAAAAATTTTTGGGATATCGATCCCAAGTGCTGATGTGAAAAGTATAGCGTGTTTATGGTTTCGGACCAAAATTTTGAAATATTGGACTGGCATGTCAAATCTTTAAAAAAATCCAAAATTTTCAACATTTCAATTGGCGATTTTGAAAAAGTGGTAAGAATTTTTTAAGAAACGAAACCTAAAATAATTTCTAGAAGTTGTTTTCTACAAAAAAAAGCGTCCAGCTAATTTTCGCAAGTAGTCGAAGAATGATCAAAAATTTCACAACATTGGTACTGAAAAATGAGCTTTTGAAAAATGGCTTAAAAGCTCACAAAATGTGTTAGAATATCGAGCTATCGATATGTCGATTCCAACGTGTTAATTTTAAAAATATAGCGGCCCAAAATTTTTGAAATATTCGACTCGAACGTCAAATCTTTAAAAAATACCAAAATTTCCGACATTTCAATTGGCGATTCTGAAAAAGTGGTAGAACTATTCTAAAAAATTAAACTTAAAATAATTTCTATAAGTTGAATTCCACAAAAAAATTGTCCACCTAATTTCCAAAGGTGGCCGAAAAATGATCAATAATTTCACAACATTGGCACTGAAAAATTGAGCTTTTGAAAAAATGGCCTAAAAGCCCACGAACAGTTCTGAGGTATCAAGATATCGATCCCAACGTGCTGATTTGAAAAATATAACGTTTTTATAGTTCAGGATCAAAATTTTTGCAACATTCGTCTGGAAGATCAAATTTCTAATAAATCCCAAAATTTCCAACATATCAATTAGCAAATTTTTGAAAAGTGGTAGGATTTTTTAACGAAATGAAACCAAAAATAACTTGTGGGGATCGAGATCTAGACAAAAATAAACGTCTTTGGCTAATTTTCGAAAGTTGTGTTCAAAATTACATGTAAAATTCACTTTTTTTTTAAGAATAAAATTCTTAAGAAGGAAAAATATGAATAAAAATCCAACTTTTAGAAATCATAAATATTATTTTTTTATGGAAACGGATACGAATTGAGGTTCAAAATTAGTCCAAAATAATTTAGACAGAACTCTCGTGGTGTCTGAAGTACCTACACTTAATTTTGCATGCATGTAAGTGAAAAAATATATAAGTAATAATAAAAAAATGACTTTCGAGAACAAAAAATCTAAAATTTAAAAATTCCACAAATTGAAAAATCATGGAACTGAAAAATCGAAAAGTCGAGATAGTGAGAAATCTAAAAACCTAAAACTTTTAAAACTGAAAAATTAAAATATCGAAAAATTTAAAAACCGAGAAAACACAATATCAAAAATTTGAAAAATTGAAGAAAGAAATATTGCAAAATTCCAAAGCTGAAATATTGAAAAACCTAAAAATGGAAGGAAAATTAAAGAATCGAAACAGTGAAAAAATCCCAAACTGAAACACTGAAAAATTGAGAAATGGAAAAATGGGAAAATCAAAAAATTGGTCTAAAGAGTTTAGACAGTACTTCACTCGCTATCGGAAACGTGACGACTGCATGCTTATTATGTTTTTTTTTCATATTATATTTCAAAGCATTCGGTTTTGTAGTTCCTGATTAAATCAATAAAATAAATTTGCGCATTCATTAAATTGTTTGAGTCACCCTGTATATCCAAAAAATATGAATGGAATGATAAATCACAAGAAGAGAACATAAAACTCAAAACATGTTTAAAATGGAAAATTTGTATAACGAAATATCGATTTTGCAATTGGATTCCGCTCCTTAATTGCAAAATCCATATTTCTTTGTAAAAATGTACCATTTTGACCATGGTTCAAGATTCTTGTTGTGAAAATATGGCAATGTATATGTAGAAAAAAAAAGACAAAAT